TTCATACAGACCTCAATCATCAGGGATAGCAGAGTGAACAAATCGCACCATCAAACTCATGCTGCGAAAACTGGTAGATGCCAACGGACACGATAGGAACACCCTGATTCCACTCATTTTAATGGCACTCAGGGCGTCTCCAGCTGCCTCCACAACTCATACGCTCATTGAGGTAATAACTGAACAAATGATGCCAATGCCTAAACATCTTTTGTGGCATACCAGTGGCACACAGCTAAAGAAAATCAAACTAAAAACTTATCTGCAAGCATTACAAAAAAACATTTAAATCAGATCCACTTGCAGGTAGCTGTCAAACTGGAAAAATTCAGACAAAAGGCAAAACCTATTTTGATAAGAATCAAAGAGAAAATGCTTGGGAAATTGGAGTCCAAGTTATGCTTTTATCTTTTATGCTGTACCTGAATACAATTCATTTCATCAATGGACTGGGCCACATGTTATTGTGAATAGACTCAGTATTTCAAAAGAACATAAGAACATGAGAGCGGCCATACTGGGTGAGACCAAAGGTCCATCTAGCCCAGTATTCTGTCTTCTGACAGTGGCCAATGCCAGGTGCCCCAGAGAGAGTGAACAGAACAAGTAATCATCAAGAGATCCACCCTCTGTCACCCATTCCCAGCTTCTGGCAAACAGAGGTTAGGGACACCATCCCTGTCCATTCTAGCTAACAGCTACTGATGGACCTAACCTCCATGAATTTATCTAGTTCTTTTTTGAACCGTTCTAGTTTTGGCCTTCACAACATCCTCTGGCAAAGAGTTCTGCAGGTTGACTGCGCATTGTGTGAAGCAATCAAACAGGGTGCGTGGAAGCAGGGGTGAGAATGAGCAAGGAGGGTGTAGCCTTCCCACAGCAGCTATACGCCAGCACCTTATACAAGCACCAGAAGCAGTTGGACTGTTAGCACCGCAGGGGTGGAGCCAGGAGGGGCTGGGAATTGCTCTGCCTGAGGAGACACACAGGAAGAGGAGACACACTGCTTCCAAGAGCTTCTGATTCCACAAGGTCCTCCCAGGAAAGCTTCTGGCCTCCCGATACTCCCCTTCCCCACCCCCTCGCACTTGCTATCTCCCCAGCTTTACACTTCATGGCACTGTTGGGGTGTGGCGTACAGGTTCTCCGTCATCAGCTTCTCCAGATCCAAGGGGAGTGAACCACAGCTAGTGACTCAGGGTTTTCAGCGTCCCCTGCTAGGGTCCCCTAGTGCTTTGCCAGGGTCCCTTAGCGCCCTCCCATTACAGCAGCCCCCGCTGGGGTCCCTTAGCACCTTCCCGGGCTCACTGCTGAGCCCTCCTGTTACAGGCATTTTATACCTCGGAGTATAAAATTAGAATCTTACAGGGAAACAAAAAAAGTTAATAAATTCTACCATGCAAATCAGTTAAAACTGTGTTGGAAAAAAAATATTTTTTCACAGGCGCAGCAACCAGAAACAATAATTGTGCAAGAAAGCCAATACAATCATCCCAGTAACAGAAACTGGGAAAAATGCAAAGCACGACACTAATCCTATACTTCTGCTTGAATGCTGCCATCCAAACTGAATCACAACTGTTTCACCACAAGGAACACAAACCGTTAGTGTAAATCAAAATGTTGCATTGGGACTGGATTCAAATTTGCCTATTGAAACTAAAGATTTGCAAACAACAGTAACTGGGGAACGAAAAAGAAAGAAACCAGACCAAGATCAATCTGAAATACCATGCCAATCAACTACAATTTTCTTTAAATGGAATTATCAACCAAACCAAGAACAGTTTATATATAAAACTCGAAATAAAACTTTGTTTACTGCATCAACTAGTAGTACAATTGTAACAATGCATAAAGTACCAAATCATATGTCACATCTGTATAAATTGGAATTACATATGGTATTAAAAGAAGGGCAAAAACTGGTATTATGGAAACATTTCCCACTGATGGTTCAAAGATGTGGAGAAAGGTATGTACACTATTTTCCAAAAAAAATTAGGCAGCCAAATACTTCATCAAACCACTCACAACAAATTTTACCCACATGTTAAAGAAATAATAGGGAAACATATTGTTCTTGCATAGAATATAAAAGAAAATGAATACATGCCTTAGTAAATTGGAAACAAATCTCCCCCTTACTGGAGGAATCTAGAGAGGGAAGAATGTAAAACATATATTCCAGGAAAAATTCACTCTTTGCCAATCAGTAATGGAATTCCATATGAATCATGGAAAAACAGAACCAAATGTCAAAGTTTGGTAAAATGTGAAGCAATAATCATATACAATCTAAAGCATAAAAATAAGAAAGGATATGAAGCCTGTATCCAAATTAAGGTTTTGGATAAAGTCAAAGTTATTATAACTCAAAGAACAGGTATAGGCAATAATAGTGAAAAAAACCCACATAATGCACAGAATTCAGTGGAATGTCCAGAATTGCAGAAAGGCCCTGTTAGTGGTCTCACTGCCACACCTATGCCAGGGATGTTAACCAATCAAGTATAATTCATGCATATCCCTGTTGTGTTAAATTTATCTAAATTGGCAAATGAGCAAATTTTGTTACTGTAAAGACACCAAAGTGGCATCTTTTTTTCCAGTACTCCTTGTGGATAAGATTACTGTTTATCAAATTGGGCACAGGACATTGATAATCTGGGTTTGGAGATACACAGTAATCTGTATGCTCCTAAAAGAAAACAAAAAACAAGTACTTTGGAAATTCTAAATACTATTACAGGATTGTTTGGTACCGAAACGTTAATTTGGAATAAGGTGAATGTTAAAAATATCAAAAAGCATATCAATTATGTAATTCAGGAAGAAGCTAATCAAGTAATTAATCCAATGTTAAAAGGTATTTATGGCTTATCAACTAAGGAACTATTTACAGTATATAATGTGCATGAAATCACTAAACTGTTTAATAAAACAAAAAAAATTAATCAACTGGTAAACTATAATTATGATCAGAACAAAAATCATTATCTTGGGAAAAATTATTTATTCAGCATATAAAAATATGTAATCAACACTATTAAGAATACCTTACAGTTTTTAAAACTAAAAAGGTACCAAAATTAATTAAAAACCAGCAAATTTTAAATTGGTATTGCCCACAATGTATTTAAAAGTGAGGAAAAAAGTTAAATGCCAAATGAACTGTAAAAATATTATTATTCGGGGCAATAAAAAACTTGGGATCTGTGACACAACATCCAAATCATAATACATGTTATTTAAGGAAACCTTGTGACATGTCACAATCCTTATATGTTTCGTTCGCTTTATCACTACCCAGACAGGGCTGGCTCCAGGCACCAGCTTTCCAAGCAGGTGCTTGGGGTGGCATTCAGAATGGGGCGGCAGTCCCGTGTCCCATGGCTGCAATTTGGCAGCAGATCCATTGCTCTTCTGGTCACCGTGGCAATTCGGAGGCAGCTCCGCCGCTGCTGTGGAGGCAGCAATTCGGCGGCGACTGCTTGGGGCAGCAAAATTGGTAGAGCCGTCCCTGTACCCAGATAGCGTTCAATCCAGCTAAAAATGTGTTTGACCAATTAGCTACTGTCCAGACCATAGGCCACCTAAAAACCAATATTTATAAAAAACAAATGCAAGTGTATCATGTAACAAGCTGATGGTGTATCATCATGATACCTAAACACGAAAAATCCCGCAGATGGCTTGTTGCTCTTAAAAGGGCTGTCAATGTATCTGTAGGTGTAATGTGTTTAAGGTAATAACTCCACTAGGTGGTCAGATGGAAAGGTACCAACAAGATTTACTGGCAGTGAATGCAACAGAAATATGTCCAGTACAACTAAGCAAATGGAATCTCCTATGGAACAAATAGCATATGCAAAAGAAGGGCAGTATTGCATAGTAACTAAATCATAAAAAAAATTCTATCATGATCAACGTAAATGAATGATCACAAATCCAAACTTTTGTTTTAAACCACAAGTGCCTACAACAATTGGTCATACAACAATATCTCCAGTGCACACTTTAAAAAATAAAAATAAAACTGTTATTCTAAGTAACCCTAATTATCAGGATTTAACTAAACAAAGTACTCCAGTTTTTCATGCATATATACCACCACTAACCTTACAACTAAAACAATTGTTAAAAAAAAGAAGACTCACATTTAATTAAAATTAGTAACATGAATAAAGTAAATCAAGCAAGTGTTAAAATTTTAAATAGTGGCAGTTCACAAGATAGTACATCTAAAGAAATGAAAACTGAATGAAAAGGATGAATTATTGGTCACAGTATCCTTACTATGTGCACCATCCTAGCCCTATGTCACATGGAAGGAAAACTTAAATCACTACGCACAAGAAGCGTTAACCCCTGCCGCATATAACTCAGCCCGTTTCCTTTCCCTTGTTGTCAACTGTCACAGCCGCAGCAGAAGCCAAAGCTAATATAAAAAAAAGTACACAAGGAAGTTAATACTTATAAAAAATGCAAAGTGTAAGTCCACATCAAGTCCCAAAAGCTCCATATAATTGTAATTATGTACCACAATGCAGAGGAGCAATTGCTCCCCCCGTGCAAAAATACCTAAAAAAAACCCCAAAAAACAATCCCTAATAATATAAAAGAATGGCATGCAAACAGAGTTAAGTTACATATAATCTTTAGGCATTGTCAAGGTTCCTTCCCCACTCTGAACTCTAGGGTACAGATGTGGGGACCTGCATGAAAACCCTCTAAGCTTATTTTTACCAGCTTAGGTTAAAACTTCCCCAAGGTACAAACTATTTTACCTTTTGCCCTTGGACTTTATCGCTGCCACCACCAAGCGTCTAACAAATATATAACAGGGAAAGAGCCCGCTTGGAAACATCCCCCCCAAATCCTCCCCAAACCCTACACCCCTTTTCCTGGGGAAGGCTTGATAAAAACCCTCACCAATTTGCATAGGTGAACACAGACCCAAGCCCTTGGATCTTAAGAACAACGAAAAAGCAATCAGGTTCTTAAAAGAAGAACTTTAATTGAAGAAAAAAAGTAAAAGAATCACCTCTGTAAAATCAGGATGGTAAATACCTTACAGGGTAATCAGATTCAAAACATAGAGAATCCCTGTGGGCAAAACCTTAAGTTACAAAAAGACACAAAAACAGGAATATACATTCCATTCAGCACAGCTTATTTTATCAGCCATTTAAACAAAACAGAATCTAATGCATATCTAACTAGATTACTTACTAAGTTCTAAGACTCCATTCCTTTTCTGTTCCCGGCAAAAGCATCACACAGACAGAGAGAACCTTTGTTTCTCCCCCTCTCCAGCTTTGAAAGTATCTTGTCTCCTCATTGTTCATTTTGGTCAGGTGCAAGCGAGGTTATCCTAGCTTCTTAACCCTTTACAGGTGAAAGGGTTTTTCCTCTGGCCAGGAGGGATTTTAAAGGTATTTACCCTTCCCTTTATATTTATGACAAGCATAAATTTAAATTACATGTAATACTGAAACATTACATCAATTAAATTTCTTATGTGCTATTGTATTAATCATTACTGTCATATGTATGTAACAGGGCTCTTATCTAATTGTTGCTTAACAACAAGATAACACACCCTGTCAAGGTGGGGAATGTGGCCAATGATTTTAGTTTAGTATCCATTTATCATGTGATGTTATGATTAATCAATATGTTATATGACATATAAACACTATGTTAATTAGAGTAATTTGTAGGATTATAAAAGTATAAGATTGATCAGTATTTAAAAGGAACTATGTGGTAGACATAAGTAAGGCAAGCTGAAACACAAAAATCCATAGGCCAAGGCCTGCAAGACCTTACCTTAGCTATTTTGGGCTTTGGAGACAAAAAATAATAGCACAAGTCAATGATCGAGAAATAACCCAAAAGATAATGGAAAAGAGGTACCAACTGGTAATATTGCAAAAGTATAGCTGGAAAGATTAAATTAAGTTATAAAATGCTGTGACAACAAAATATTGTCTCTAACACATACAATAACCACAGAATAAAGGTGGTACATCAATGTTAACAAAAACCTACCCAGCCTATAGAATTCGGGGTCCCTTGTGTTTTCAGGGGACACAAACCAATAAGAAAAAGAAGGTTGACACTTTTATGTACATGCGGAGAATGTAGGTATAGACAAACTCACAGTATAAAAAAGGTTGCTCAAAACAGAAAAATTGAGCTTCCTAGGGAAAACTCCAGCAGGAACCACTCCCATGTTAAGGGTCAAAGTCTCCCAGCAGCACCATAAAAGGGCCATCTAGAAAAATGTAAGTATGTCTGTAGTTATAACTGGTCCATTATATTTATCTTTAGTAATTGTATATGCTGTAACATTTATAGCTTTGTCAGTAATTTTAATAAAATTTCACTAACAAATAAATGCTCTTGTAGTTGTATGTGTTGTTTTCCTATGGTTTCATGTGTTCCTATGAACTTTAAATATAAAACAGAGGTAACTCTGTTGAACTTAAAACTATAGCCACCAGAGCCAAACCCACTGAAGTATAATTAACCTTAAATAAAGTAAAAGGCTACAGTCATAACATTTTAACAGTGAGGATAATTAACTATTAGAATAATTTACCAGCAGCTGTGATGGGTTTGCCATCACGGGCAATTTTAAAATCAAGATTGGTTTAGCTTATGCTCTAGTCCAGATGGAGTTACTTCAGGGAAGTTCTCTGGCCTGTGTAATACAGGAGGTCAGACTAGATGATCACAATGGTCCTATCTGGCCTTGAAATCTAGAACTCTATGCTGGCCGTCTGGAAACACCATTATGCAGCTAGAGCTCCCCTGTGTCCAAAGGGTCATGACAGAGTTGTGTAAAGCTTGCCATGCCAGCCAGAGATTCTGCTGAAAAAGGGGAAAATCCCAGCTGCCTTGTTATGGTAGCGTTAGATCTCCCATGCTGCAGAGCAGCATAAGGGGGATTGTTCAGAACTGAGGATCTGGCCTACAGTCTTCAGGGATGGCTCTGGCAGCAGCATTTCAGTTCAGTAAACATCCTCTCTTTTCTACCTCAGGGAGAGGAGAAGATGGAAACATCCATAGGGAGCCTAAGATGGATTTTAATAAATATATGGGTGGGATTCTATGTGACAACAGGGAGCTTGGTCAAGGACTGGAAAGGATCTGTTGGCTTACATGTCCTATGTGATAGTCTGGGTTCTTCAGTGCTAGGTATTTCTGAGCAGGGCTCAGATCCAGAAAGGTTTTGCTGCAGTGTGATAGACACAGTCCTGACATTAGTAGTGCCCAATTGACAGGGCCGGCTCTACCATTTTTGCCACTACAAGCAGTGAAAAAACCTGTCGCTGCCGAATTGCTGCCGCGGCTGGCGGAACAGAATTGCAGCCACGGAAACTCTGCCGCCCCTTTCTGATTGCCGCCCCAAGCACCTGCTTGGAATGCTGGTGCCTGGAGCCGGCCCTGCCAATGGAAACAACAATAGTTTGGAGAAGGCCACATGATGGAAGTAGCGTAACTAGAGAGGGGAAAAAAATCAGTGCTCCAAAATCCCCAATGGACTGTTGCTGTGTTTGTATCAGTCACACATTCACTTTAAATATTTCCAAATTCCTCTAATATAGTTCAGATTTTTTTTTTAACCTTTTTCTTTTGTTGGGAAAAGACAAATATGACAGCATTTCTGTAGTTGGTGAGACACTTTCATTTTACACCTCAATTTGCTATTTTGGATTACCTTACAGTAAATAAAAGGTATTTGTCATATCATAAGAAATTTTGCAGGTGACTTTTCTCATTCTTGGATAGCTCAAAGAAAGAATATTTCTTCATTCCACCACCCAAAAAGATTCCAGCAGGTAGCCCAGCTGCATGCCAGTTACAGGCTTTGGCTTGGATCACAGATATTTAAATTCTACATCCTACATTCAAGATATATACATGGTAATCTGAATCTTATATTGCCATCTCTTGTGCAATTACAATCACAAATTATCATCAATTGCCACTGAATTTTTATTTTCATTAATAAAATTTTCACTGTAAACTATATTAATGCAATATTATGATTGCATTATGATTAAATGTACAGAAGTCACGAAATTCATAGTTATGGCTTTCACAGCATCCTTGACGTGGACATATTGCAGATATATTTCTAATTTTGGAGTTAACCTGCGCAGGAAGCAGAGAGTCCTTTTCCATTAGCTCTCCTCCAACCGCATCTTCCCTGAACAGCTCCATAACTTCCAATTATAGCAAAACATTTTTGTCTTTTAGAGCTTCATGAGGCTAACCTTTACTCTGAATAGATAAGCACGCAGTGCCAGCAATCTCACAAATTACTGCTCAGTTTCCAATCTCTCTTTCTTAAGCAAGTTAATTGAGAAGTTAACTAAAAATAGGCTGTAACTAGCCTCTCTGTTGCCAACATCCATCCCAATAAGGCTTCATGCCAGGACATGGTGGAGAGACAGCCCTTGTCACTCTGGTAAATGCCCATAGTTTGGGGCGGGGGGGGAAGGGGGGGGAGGAAGCAGGAGAGGAAGCACATAGCTACTCAATGTTTTGGAGTCACCATGGCATGTGAAATGGTCGACAACCTAATTCTGCCATTCTATCTACAAGGCTGAAATTGCTCAGGTCTTTCTGAGGACAACTGTTCCTCACTCTCCAGGACTCTCACATGCAGGATCCTTCAAGGCTCCATGCTTTCCCTCATCCTATTCAGTAGCTATACAGATATATTCACTGAGCTGTCTCCTTAGTCCATTGACTCGTAAGCTTTTGTCCTGAGAAAATCCTATAAAATCAGAGTCCATCTTTGGCAATTTGTGTTACTTTATGTTTATCCAAGTTAAAGATCATCTGCCATACACTTAACCAGTTCCCCAATGTGTTTAAATCTATCTGGAGCTCCTCATCATTCTTCATAGCTTTTACTAAATTAAATAACCTAGAGTCTCCAGCAACCCTCATCAACCTGCTGTCCATGTCCTCCTTCAAATTATTAGTACATTAAATAATACTGATATCAGTACTGACCCCTTGAAGTGTTCTACTATTCATTTCTCTGCAGCCTGAGGGGCATCCATTCACTATCACTGGATTTTGTCCCTAACCACATAGTTCTTTATTCTCCTTACACGTAAAAAACCACAGACTATGCCTACATACCTGATTTAGGTGCTGAGCCAGCAAAGCACTTTGGCACGTTCTTAACTTTAAGAACCGGAGTTGTCCCCATTGACTTGAATGCAATTACTTGGGATCTTAATATTAAGCCTGTGATTAAATGTTTTGTTGGGTTGGGCCTTTATGCACATACAATTCCCGGTCACGTTTAAATTCTGTAATATTAATAACACTTTGCATTTTGATAGCATATTTCACCCACAGATCTCAATGTGCTTTAAAGAACCTACTAAATTAAGCTTCCCTTTATCTGCATTTTAACAGACAGAAATTGATGTGAGGCCAAAGGTCAAAAGCAAGTCAGTTGCATAACTAGGAACTGACCTTTGAACTCAGGGAGGACACTGAGGGGACATGCTTTAAACACACACACAGACAGACAGACACACACTGTCACTAATTTAGAGATTGCCTTTGAAAGTTTGAGTTGGCCAAGCATTGTAGGTGACAGATTTGTACTGTCCATGTAAAGTAATCCCTCTCCTATTCATCATACTTCTTAGACTTACTCTAATGAACTACATCCTACCACCAGAAGCTGAAGACACAGATTTAAACTGGGTTTTCAAGGTGGAGGTCAGTTATGGCATTTAATTAAGGTGATCTAAAGAAAAAGAGGAGATGGGTAAGAGTGCAGGAGCTAAAAGGATATTTTGTGCCCAACACAAAGCTGCCAAAGAGAAGAGGATGGAGAGAAGTCAGCAGACAGGGAGAAACAGGCACATGAGAGGCATGCGTTACAAAAGAGGCAGAGACGCAGCCATCAGCTTTTACAGATTTGATTAGTGAACCATGTCTCATTTTATTGTAACCTCACTGATTATTTTGCATATTATTCTTAGGGTTTTTGGCTTTAGGTGGAGACTAATCAAACTACAGAAAGCCCCTCTTCAGCAAAAATTGGAGAAGAGACTTTTTTAAAGATACTGGTCACTTCAAATTGGTAGTGTATGTTACACATATATTTGTTCCACAGGCACAACCGCTGGGAGAGGTTAAGGTGGAAATTTCCCCTATAAGTTTCAGGTGTGGGTGGGGGAGCTGCAATGTTTTTCCCCCCTGCAAATATGCATCGGTGACAGCAGGGAGGCAAGAAAGGGAAAGGGAGACCATTTCTAACTTCCCAAATGCCGCTGTGTGCGGCAGCAGCTGTCTCAGCACCACTTGACAGTTGAGGAGTAGAGATGAAAGGCTCAGTTCCCTAACTTATAGACAATATCACTTCAGACAGCAGGAGGAGCCAGAGAGAAGAGACCTGCTTGCCTCCTCCAGTCCTCTCCCCAAAGGACTGTAGCACATGGCATGGGACGGGACAAGCACCCCCTTCCCTGTTAAAGAAGAAAGGTCTGGCTGGGAGGGAGACAGAGATGGCCTGCTGGGGAGATTGAACAGAGACCAAAGGGGAATACACAGTGCTGTGGGTGATGTGACACAGAAAGATGCTTGAACACTACAGGGAGGACACTGCGGGGACGTGCTTTACACAGACACACATATGGACAGACACAGCCATACAAAACTGCACATATAGACTTTCAGATACACATAAAGGTGGAACAACATGGTGCTGCTGGGGGACTTTTGGGAGGATGGGAACTGAGCTCATCTGTGAAGCCAGATCCTTGCCCCGCGCAACTTGGAGATGAACAAAATGACTCAACGTTGTCTTCCCCCCAGAATTTATTTTTTTGTGGTTGCATTGACGATTCCCTTAAAAAAACTTTGTTAAAGTTTTTTAAGGTGGAAAGGTTGCAAAAGGGTGTTAATCCTGACTACAAAACAACACCCAGGCACATATACTTACATCTCTGTCACACACTCTGCTTGTAAGACAACTCCTCATATAATGCCTCCCCTCCTCAGGTCTAATGCCTTCAATCACTGCTCTCTGCACACTGCCTTCCAGCTCCAGTTGCCCACAATAGCACAGTCCCTCATACAAAACAGCAGCTCAGATGGTGCAACCTGGGAAATTAAACTTTAAACTAGGGCTGTCAAACGATTAAAAAAATAATCGCAATTAATCGTGAGATTAAAAAAAAAAGTTGTGATTAATCACAGTTTTAATTGTACAGTTAATAATAATAGAATAGCAATTTAAATTCAGCATGGAAGCATGTCCTCTGGAATGGAGGTCAAAACACGAAGGGGCATATGAACGTTTAGCATATCTGGCATGTAAATACCTTGCAACGCCTCCTCTCACTTTCAGGTGACATTGCAAATAAGAAGCAGACAGCATTATCTCCTGTAAATGTAAACAAACTTGTTTGTCTTAGAGATTGGCTGAACAAGAAGTAGGACTAGTGGACTTGTAGGCTCTAAAGTTTTACAATTGTTTTGTTTTTGAGTGAAGTTGTGTAAAAAATATAATTCTACACTTGTAAGTTGCACTTTTACAAGAAAGAGATTGCACTTCAGTACTTGTCTGAGGTGAATTGAAAAATACTATTTCATTTTTTTTTTACAGTGCAACTATTTGTAATCAAAATAATAAATACTTTGTATTCTGTGTTGTAATTGAAACCAATACATTTGAAAATGTAGAAAAACATCCAAAATACTTAATAAATTAAAATTGGTATTTTATTAACAGCTAGTAAAACTGCAATTAATGGAGATCTTTTAAAAATCTAGTTAATTTGTTTTGTGTTAATTGCTCAAGTTAACTGCAACTAATTGACAGTTCTACTTTAAACAATTAAATTTGCCTGCCTGTGAATTTTGCACTAATGGGGAGAGCCAGGGGCTAAGGGGATTGGATTTAGAATGGTCTCCTCTCCCCGTGGTGCACTTGAGTTTAGATCAGAGATGCTCTCTCCTCCCATATTCTCCTCTTCTTCCCCAGTGGAGTCCCTGAGCTCTGGATCTCTCCTCCAGGCCTCTGCTCATGTCACCCAGGCCACGAATAGTGTATTTATAATGTATACATTTTTACTGCGAACATATATTACCAGGTACAATTGCACCACAGCAATAGTTACTTGTATCAGCTCTATATCTTTGTAATTCCCTCTCACAACTTTCCTAAAACATTAAAAAGCACCAATTTGGAGCAAGGCCACCAAAACAAAATAAAATTGTAATTTGCAGGGCAAACCTCTTTCAGAGAAAAAAATCAGCATTAGAAAATATTATCATAATTGAAAGCTCCTCATATACCAAGCCCTCAGATTTCCAGAATCCCACTACAACAACTTTTGAAATTGAAACAAATTGAAACAAACTGTCCAAAATAAGGACAGAATTTAGGTAAGATGCGTAATGTACGTCAGATGGATTTATTTCATATTGATGAAATTAGATGGGTGTATTAAGTTTGGGTTTATAAGAGAAGCTTGCTTCAAACTTTAACTCTGGAGTTATAACCTGTCTTCCCATAAATATACGTGTATATATGTAGACAAAGAGAATATATAATTTATTTCATACAATAAGGAGCCACACATTTCCTAGAGTCATCAGTAAATCTTGATTCAGCTCAGAATTTTATAGCAGGGCACTGTGTACAGGACTGAGTGATAAGTCAGCAACAGCAGCTGTCCTCGATGCCGCCTCTCATTACATAGTGCAGGCTGATAGAATGCCAGTGGGTGAACGCTGTGGGAGTAGGGAGCAATTTAGGACAGCTGGCCCACTACTGAAGTCTGAGCTGTATGCATGCGAGAGATTAGGACCTACTGCATTAGAAGCCTCTGTGCTCAGTGGGGATTAAATCAGCTTGCGAATGGGAACATACATTAACAGAATCTGAATTATGTTTGGATCATTTGGTACCTATGAATGAGCCTAAGGAGTCCAGGAGTGATGGGAATGGATAGTCAGGCTAGGGGCACCAAGTCAGCTCAGTTTCACTTCTAAACTGGAGGGGAGAAGGCAGGGCACAGGATACTTTAATCTGAGCCTTGTACTTCCTTCAGGTTATACTGGCTCATTGATTTCTATGACAGGATGTGACAGTTTTCAAAAATGCAAACTGAAGCAGCATGGCAGATACTAAGGGCTTAGTCCTCAACTGAGCCAAGCTTACATACAATGCAGCTGGGAAAAAGTTCTCTCTAAGACACCTCTCTTTCCTCTGATCCTGAGCTGACCACCTCTATCTACTAAATTACATTGGCTGAAGCAGCCCCTTAGAGATTTCTGTTTTGGCCAAAGATCTAGCGGAGCCCCACGTGTCCCACCCACTCCTAGTCCTAAATTTTCCTTGTTACATGCTTAAATGCTATAGTGATTAGAGCAATAGACAAATCTAGATAGATGCACATCACACTCACTCTTGTCAGTAGAATTCTCATGCTAAGGAATGACTTTAACAGTCCCCACAAGGTATGTATGTAATGTTCTACTTTAGGGTGCACACCAAGACAACTGAGCTAATAAAACTGGAAGTCAATCTTTTTTTGCAGTAAAGGTTTTCTCTATAGGCGGGGCACTGAGCATAGGCACATTCTCCTCATTTATAAGCAATTCCAGAGTCATGAAAGATAGTAATAATTTCCAACATACATCCTTGCTAACCTAAGCCATTCTTTTTCAAAAATACTTGTTACAAAAATTTCATTTTAAAAGTGACTTACAAATGAGACTGGGGCTCAGATCCTCAAAACATATTTAGCTTGTATTGATTTCAATGGCAATCAGGTGCCTAAATACCACTGAGAATCTGGGCCTTAGACACTTGAAAAGGCTTCCTAAAAAAAGAGTTTCCAACGTGCAAAATGAACACAAACTTTTACCATTCAGAGGGGTCTTTGTCTCAACCAGGTCCTTTCATTTCTCAGGGTGGTTATTCTGGACCACTCACTAAAGGGTATAGATACTTCACCAATATCAAGGTTTAAGGTTATTTTATGCAGTGTTATATAAATAGATTCTGTTCAAGCTCACACACTCTTAAATATGGTGAATAAAAACACTGACCGGGCAATATCCATTCATATTTCCAAACAGTAGCCAATACATGTCCAAAAGGAAGACTCCTTGGCAACAAAGCATTCTCCCAATACTCTTGTTTCAGTATTCTTGTATGTGTCCTCAGCTAAAGGGGATGATTTTTTAAGGACCTCTCTCTCCCTATCCAACTCAGCATCCCAAATGTATGTGGTAGGTCTCACTTTAGAAAACACAGTGTAATATTGTTCAATAGGATGGGGAGGTTGCTTACTGTAACTGGAGGTTCTTCGAGATGTATGGTCCCTATTTGGATTCCAAAGGCGGCGTGCATGCACGCCATGCGCCGAACCTGTTTGTAGTAGTATCCATTGACTCTCACGTGTTTCGGCCGTGTGGTGCGTCTTAGGCTTTAAGAGGGGATGGAGGGAGGGTATTGGAATCCAAATAAGGACCACACATTTCAAAGAACCTCCAGTTACAGTAAGCAACCTCCCCTTCTTCTTCTTCGAGTGCTGGTCCCTATATGGATTCCAGACATGGGAGACTAGAGAGCAGTGTTCAGCACGGAGGTGGGTGCGAAGACACGCAAGAAGTCACAGTCTGTAGAATGGCATGGCCAACTGCCACATCCGCTCCTGGGGCGATGGCATCATGAGTGGAAAAGATGTGGACAGAAGACCACATGGCTACCTTACAAATGTCCTGCCATGGTACATCTGCAAGGAAGGCATTAAAAAATGGGAACATCTATAGCTCTTAGGGTTTTGTAAAAAGTGCTTATTTACAGTTTGCATTTCAGTCAACTTGGGACAATGAAAATATATTATTCAATTTCATTATCTCTCTCTCATTCATTAGCACAACGCTGCAAACACTAAAAGGAGATGTTAAATCCCAAGAAAATACTGTCTTTCAAAAACAAGGCACCAAGACCTAAATTACGGACTTGAACTTGTGTTATATTTTCATATGAGAAAAAAGATCAACAGTAACTATATGCATTTTTGGAGGAAAGATTTCAATATATTTAAATCATGAAGACTGTTGGCTTTGAATGAAAGGATTCAAAAAGCCAAAGCTTTCCAACCATTCAGTAAACTATCCATTCTCCCAAACTTCAGAAATTTGATCCCCTCCCCTTTCAATAAAATGAAGCCTATCACACTCTCCCTACATTAGAAATGTACATTGGTATACCGACCTAACCGTTGACCTAGCTACCACCTCTCAGTGAAGTGGATTACCTATGTAGATGGGAGAACCTCTCCTGTCGGTGTAGATAACATCTATACTGAAGCACTACAGCAGGACTGCTTCAGCATTTTAAGTGAAGACATACCCTAAGTTTATAGACCTTTAACTCTTCTCCCCTCCCACTCCTTACCTTGTTAGTTCCTCAAACCCCCAGGGAGGCATGCCCCAGCCTTTGGGAAATGAGGATGCAGTAAAGCAGTAATTCAAATGTTTGCTATTTGTACTAAACTATCTCTGTTCCCTTCCAGTGGCAATCCCCTTCACAACTCTCCCCACCATTTTAGGAGCAAATCTACACCCATACTCTCTGGGTCTAGCAGGGCTCTGGACACAGCAGAACAATTACAAATTGCTTCACATGCACTGGGGAGCCAAGTCTCCTGGAGACGGGTCTGCACATGTAGCACAGCTCAACATAGACTGTGTGCGCATCAGCGTGTGGGGTGGGCATGCGGAAATAGCCAGGGGGCCTGCAAATACATTCAAAAGTATCTTCTCATTCCTTTATTCCTTCTACATCTTCTCCAGTTGCTGTAGGCAGTCAGGCTCTGTACTCTTGTTACTGAGATAGTTCCTGACTCCATATTGTCGCCCAGTGGGCCAGTTTACCTCTATTATATTCTCTGATTTTCATTATACTCTGCTTTATTATATTCAGCAGTAATTCAAGGAACCTAGAGGCTTGTAAACTGTAAGACACTGGCTTTAGCAGTTAGCATAAGGCTTGACGCCTACAAACTTTGGCATAGATAAACTTAGGAAACCCATAAATTTTGGAGAACAGGAAGTAGAATGTAATGGGGAATTTTGTCTATAATGACATCAGCCAACCATAGAAATACGAGCTAACACCAGCTTCTGGAAAGTTTTGGACAGAACATCCAACTGCAAGAGTGCCAGAGCAACAAATTAACATATATGATAATGACATGAAATCAAATATATTAACCTATTAAAAAAAGGACACCTTAACATTGGTAAGGGGAGGAAATAGAAATAAGGAAGAGGGGGAAAACCCCTAATGAATAGACATGGTGACAGCATAACATATTATAAAAGGAGCATCCCAGGGCAGTAGGAGAGGGAGATGCAGACCTTGGGAGAGGCCAGAATGATGACCACTGGTGAAGATGAGGAAGGTGATGGTGATGAGGAAGATGATGGCTAACATTTCAGGTTGTTCTGCAAGGGATGGTGAGAGTATGGATGTTCAGATGTACTTGCTGTATTATCTCTATCTATCTTATTGAGTTAGAGTGTTTGTGACTTTGCTAAATGTATTAATAAATTTGTAAATATAAGCATTCCTATAGTGTGAATGTTGCATCTGTGCACATAATTTCCCAACTATATAATAATTTTAATAATACTGGGCCTGATCTTGGGACAAGAACCTGTCAACTCTCAAAGTGATAACTGTAAATTCTTATTCCTAATCTATAGACCAGGCTACAATATTCAACTACCTATTTTAGAGAACCCCCCCCTTCAGTTGCTTCATTAATTATGTACAAGTACCGCATGCTCCCGCTCCAATTTTTTTTTTTTTTTTTTTTTTTTAAAAGAACCAAGATAGATTGTCAGACACTCAAATATTTATAGAAAATAGGTTGGAAAGCAGAGATGACCCTCAGCTGAGCTGGTCACATGTTGCTCGAAGGCCTTGTACTATTCATCCCTGATTAAACATATGCATGTTAGTTTATGAAACTGTATCACCCATATATTTAACTCTGCACCATTCACCCCTCCACTAGCAGATAGAAAAAAAATGCACAGGTTCTTTTTAAATTTTCTGGTAAAAGTGATGGATGGAGACACACACACACACGTTTCACAAGTGATTCATTTGCTGGTTTGGCTGAGAGTTCAGAAAACAAACGTAGCAGCTCGCTAGATATGGTGACGTGCAATAGTGGAGACATGGGAAGGGAGATTCATTTTAATGAAGATGATGGGGGTGGGGTTCTCCTCATACATCATGTTGGCAGTGTGTGTGTGTTCAAGTTTTGCTTCTAATTGTATTTCTTTACATTTGATTCTCATTTTACTATAAAGATATTAAGAAAACTTAATGTTTTAAGCTTCATTAGTATGAATGATTCTCTTGTCTATATTTTGTGAGGAACTCTTGTTGGCAATTTCACAACTGAATATCTTTCCTTTGCCAGCAAAGAATATGAAGGATGGTCCTATGCTTACTGCTTTGTCTGCAAATCTACTAGGAAAGAAGCGTGTGTTTCATTGAATCACTTGCCAAGTTGGCAGACGCTGATGCCGAATCAGCGGAAAACCTTTTACTCCCTAGGAGCTTATGAAGGATGCACGTTTGGAAGTTACCCCAGAAAATCCACTCAAGCACTGTCTCAATACATGTTTGATGTTTTGCAGACCCAGTTCCTATGGGTGGAAAACAACCTTCACCTTTACTCAATGTTACTTTATCATGGGCAATTACTGTCTCTTAAAATAAAGATGAAAGTTTTTCTATTGCCTATGACAACATACTAGGAACAGTAACAGAAGGCAGCAATGAAACGAGCACAGCTAGCACATGGTCTTATGCTGCTCTCAAAGCCCCAGTTCAGCAAAGCACTTAAGTCTGTATTTAACTCCCCTGGAAGTCAATGGCACGACTCATATGTCTAACTTTAGGCACATGCTTAAGTATCTTGCTGAATTAGGGCCCACACCCACATCTCTGCATAGAAGCATAGGCAGTTTGGTTCCGAACCTCTCCACTGTACACTTTATATGTAAGCGTTAGGGAAAGTGAATGTGAAGTGGGCCTGAAGATAATTACTTAAAATCACCAGAAGTTTGATGGTTGAATCAGTGAACATATTAAAAATTTCTACTTTTTCTATCTAAATCATTAAAAACAAGTATAAAAACATTTTTACTAAATGAGTCATGAAAGAAAAGCACTTATCACTTGAGATGAATAACTACAAAGCATTGATACTGATAAGAATTCAGTACCCATTAATATTTAACACTATTTACCATTCATTAAATTTGTTGACTGAAATATTCAGTGAAAAATATGCGGAACAGGTCGCATTACACAGCCAGCTATTAATAAGGTCCAACTTATTTTTGCTCTGTCACCATCTCCAGTCGGTGCCCAAAACATATTGAGGGTAAAGATCACTTTTCAGTCTCAGTCTCAGCTTCACTGTCTTCACTATCACTATCTCTTCCTGGATGCTCTGGCATTTTCCGATGCTCTCCCTCTTCTTTCACCGTCTCTCCCTCTTCCTTCACTGTCTCTTCACTCTCCACTGGTGTGCTCTTAGTTTCAACTTCCACTTCTGCTTCCTGTTGAACTGTTTCACTTTCTTCAACCAGGGCGGGTGGGGGCAATAAATCCTGCTAATGTAAGAGGAGGATTATTCAACAAACACAACTTCAGGTTTTATGATGACTTGTATACCAATTTCTGTTTTAGCTCTAATTGCTCACTTTAGATCTAAGACCTAAATACCTTTAATCATTTGTGCATAAAATCAGAAACACTAACCACCAAAGTCATAAATGTCTTTCTCCCTTACATTCAAAAGTATTTACTGTTTCTGAACATTAGGGAACAATTAATGAAACCCCTATAGAGATATGAATGAAAATGAATTTAGCATATACTCATGTCTTACCAGTTCATGCTTCTTTCCAGATTAACTAAATCTTATAAAAGAAGGGGGAAAATTCACACCTAGTAAATTGGGGGTAGTGGAATTCACTCAAACACCCAGGTAAGGATAAAAGGGGTAAAAAACCAAAGGTGATGTCATGGAGGGGTCTACTATAGACAACCTAAGTAGGAAGAAAAGGTGGATTACACATTTTTTAAATAACAAAATCATCCAAAACACAGTACTTGGTGGTGATGGGGGACTTCAACTACCCAGGCATCTGTTGGGGAAACAATATAGCAGAGCACAGATTATCCAGCAAGTTCTTGGAATATACCGGAGACAACTTTTTATTACAGAAGGTGGAGAAAGTGACTAGGGGAGAAGCTATTCTGGATTTGATTCTGACAAACAGGGAGGAACCGAGAATCTGAAGGTGAAAGGCAGCTCGGTGAAAGCAATCATGTAATGACAGAGTTCATGATTCTAAGGAATGGTAGGAGGCAAAACAGTAGAATACAGAAATTGGACTTCAAGAAGGCAAATGTCAAACTCAGTGAATTGGTCAGTAAGATCCCACTGGAAGCAAGTCTAAGGGAAAGAACAGTTCAAGAGAGTTAACAGTTTTTTAGAGACATTATTAAGGGCACAAGAGTAAACTATACCAATGCATAGGAAAAATAGGAACTATGGTAGGAAGCCACCCTGGCTTAAACAGGAGATCTTAAGTGACTTGAAACTCAAAAGGGTCCTCTGCAAGAAGTGGAAACTAGGTCCAATTACAAAGGATGAATATAAAAAAACAACACAAGCATGTAGGGACAAAATTAGGAAGGCCAAGGCACAAAAATAGGTTAAACTAGCTAAGGATATAAAGGGTAACAAGAAAGCATTTTACAAATATATGAGAAGCAAGAGGATGCCCAAGGACAGGGTTAGGCCCATTACTAAATGAGGAAGGAAAGACAATGACAGAAAAGGTAGTGATGGCCAAAGTCTTAAATGTATTTTTTTGCTTCAGTTTTCACCAAAAAAGTTAGCAGTAATTGGACGACTAACATAGTGAACATCATTGTAAATGGGGTAGGATCTAAGGCTAAAATAGGAAAGAACACGTTACGAATTACTTAGATGTCTTCTAGTCAGCAGGGCCTGATAAAATATATCCTAGAACACTTAAGGAACAGGCTGAGATTTCTGAGCCACTAAGTGATTATCTCTGAGAACTCGTAGAGGATGAGAGATACACCAGAGGACTGGAAAAGGGCCAGTATAGTACCTATCTATAAACAGGAGAATAAGTATTCCTGAGGGAATTGTGCACCAAACACAAACATTCTGTGCAAAATATTTTAAAATGCTGCATATTTTATTTGTCAATAAATAAATGTGGAGGCTCCAGCATGGCAGTGGGGAGCACAGCACGCTGGCTGCACGGAGGTAGGAGATCACCCTGCAGCCTCCGCCAACTCCTCCCCCACCCTCGGGACATGGACTCCGCGGTGAACCTGCAGTCGACCCTGACCCGGCGCAAGGGCCTGGCCTGCCCCAGAAACACCCCAGGGACCTGGCGCTTCTGCACCAGGAGCACCAAGATAGCGAGCGGGAGGGACACAGTTCTGCATGTATGCCCAGCCCTGGCCCCCAATCCAAGTGTGGGGCAGGCAGGTTCAGCCTGGCTGAATCCAAGTGTGGAGTGGCTAAGTGTGGGGGGATCCAGGTGCGGGGTTAGAAGGTTCTGTGTGGGGCAACTGGAGTGTGGGTGGCTTGGTGGGGGGCATCCGGGTGTGTGTGTGTGTGTGTGTGTGTGGTGGGGGGCAATCTGGATACACAGGAGCTCACTGGGGGTTTCTGGGTGCAGGATGAATAGAACTCTGCAGGGGGGTCCAAGTGAAGATAGTTGGGACTCAGCGGGGGCATGTGGATGTGAGGGGGATGGTGCTCGGCGGGGGGTCTGGGTGCAGGGGGGTTCGGGGTCCCGCGGGTGGGGGTTTGAGTGGAGCGGCTCAGCGGGGGTCTGGATGCAGGGGGGTGGAGCTTGGCAGGGAGGTCTGGGTGCAGGGAAGGGTGGGGCTTGGCAGGGTGCAGTTTGGGTGTGGGGTTTCTGGGTGTGGGGCAGTGAGGCTCATCGGGAGGGTCTGGGTATGGCGGAGTCTGGATGCAGGGGGGTTGGGTGGACAGGGGAGCAGCTTTCCATACATACAATGGCCCCTTCCCCATTGCTCCTCAGCCACAAGAAACAGAAAATGGGGGGAGGAGAGGTGTGCGTAGCTTCCTGCAGCTGGGGGAGGTTCTGCCTTAGCCCTGGCCACTCCTTACAGGGGAAGAGCAAATCCCATTTCCCCCCCAACCCCCAGCACAGCTGACACCAGCTGTGAAACTAGATGGAAAACCCAGGGAATCATAGACCAGTCACCTTAACTTTGGCACCCAGAAAGATAATGCAGCAAACAATCAAACTATCAATTTGTAAGCACATAGAAGAAAATAAGGTGATGGTAACAGTCAACATGGATTTCTCAAGAACAAATCATATCAAGCCAACCTAATATATTTCTTTTACAGGGCAACAAGCCTTGTGTATAGAGGAAAGCAGTAGATGTCATATTTCTCTACTTTAGTAAGGCTTTTGTCTCACATGACTTTCTCATAAACAAACAAGATAAATATAGCCTAGAAGAACCTATTATAAGATGGGTGCACTACGGGTTGGAAAACTGTACTCAGAGAGTAGTTATCAATGGCTCTTAAATGAGCTGCAAGGGCATATCAAGTGGCTCCCACAGAGATCTGTTCTGAGTCCACTTCTATTCAGTATCTTCATAAATGACTTGCACAGATTACACTTATAAACTTTGCTGATGATACCAAGGAAGGAGGGGCTGCAAGCACTCTGGAGGACAAGGTTAGAATTCAAAATGATCTTGACAAATTGGAGATATGGTCTGAAATAAAGAGGATGAAATTCAACAATGACAAATGCAAAGTACCTCACTTAAGGAATAAAGAACTACAAAAACACAAAATGGGAAATGACTGCTTAAGAAGGAATACTGCAGAAAAGGAACTGAAAGTTATAGTGGATCAACCTAAATATGAGCCAACAATGTAATATTGTCACAAAAAACCAAAACATCATTCTGGGATGTATTAGCACATGGATCTGAAACTCAGATCACCACGAGGAACACATAAGGACTAGTACATTGGCCCAAGGGCCGCATCACTAAAACCTTTTCATACAACGATACAAAAGTATAGTCAAAAACAAAAAAAAAATGAAGAGTAATATAGTATGCTATTAAAAGTCAATGTATTAACTTTTTAAAAACTGTAATACGAAGAAGGGTTTTAATAAAATATAAACACCTGTAACTATTCCTTATGTGGTCGGTAACATTGATGATGATCTACACTAACAGTCTATCAACACAGCTGTAATGGTAGGAACTTTTTAAAGTAACTATTCATATAAAATACTTTGCCACTTTTAACAAACATTCTTCCCAACTACTCACAGCAAAGAATCATACATGCTGAACTTCATTCCTCAGATTGCTCGTCTAGTCCATGAGCCCCTGCTCCTACCCCGCTCCCTCCCTGCCCCTATTCCAACCCCTTCCCCAAATCCCTGCCCCGGCCCTTACCTCCTCTCCGCCTCCTCCCCTGAGCGCCCCTCCTGGAAAGTTCTAAGCACTGCCGAACAGCTGTTTGGTGGCAGGAAACACTGGGAGCTAGGCAGAGGAGCGGGGACACAGCGCACTCGGGGAGGGGAGCTTAGCAGCGCCTATGGCGGGCCACCGAAATAACTCCAGGGGCCGCATGCGGCCCGTGTGTTTGAGACCCCTGTATTAGCAGGAGTGTTGTAAGCAAGATACACTTCCACTTTACTCAGCACTGAGGCAGCCTCAACTGGACTACTGCATCTAGTTCTGGGCACCACACTTCAGGAAAGAAGTGGACAATCTGGAGAAAGTCCAGAGAAGAGCAACAAAAATTATTCGAGGCCTAGAAAACTTAACCTACGATGAAAGATTGAAAAAATTGGGTTTATTTAGTCTGCAGAAGAGAAAGCTGAGGGGGGAAGACACAATAATTCTTCAAGTACGTAAAAGGTTGTTAAAAAGGGGAAGGTGATAAATTGTTCCTCTTAACCTCTGAGGACAGGACAAGAAGTAATGGGCTTAAATTGCAGCAAGGGAGATTTAGGTTAGACATTAGGAAAAACTTGCTACCTGTCTGGGTAGTTAAACATTGGAACAAATTACCTAGAACCAAATTACCTAAGTTGTGGAATCTCCATCATTGGAGGTTTTTTAAGAGCAAGTTAGACAAACACCTGTAACGGATGGTCTAGATTATGTGCAGTCCTGCCTCAGTGTAGTGCACTGGACCTATTAAGGTCCCTTTCAGTCCTGCATTTCTATGATTCTAAGGAACATCAGTGGGCTGCGCTATGCCTTCTTCCTACTCCACGTATGGCTTGAAACAGGAAGCACAGCCCCTTCACAAACCTTCGCTCAGACATTTACAACCACTGGGTATTCTTGAGATCTGATCCAGAAATCCTTTTCCAGGTCTGTCTTCAACAACTCTCTGTACCATCCTATTTGTAGCCTATATGTAGCTAGCACAATGCCCCTTCCAGGGAAACGCTATCACACAGATTAAAAGGTGTGGAACGTGTTGTACAGGCTCTCTACACTTGTGTGATTTTTATCCAAAACAAAGAACTTAGAACAGTAAGTCTGAGTAGTTGATAGAGCAATCCTTAGATACCCCATATTCCATCACAGCAGTATTGTGAAGATTATTTAATATATGCAAAGTGTTTTTGTCCTCAGGTGGGAAGGCACTAAGTACGTACAAAGCATTAAGAGCAGTAGTATGGATAACAGCACTATGGATACCTGGCAGAGAAGACTGAAGATACGATCAGCTGAAAAAGATTGCTAGTGCTGGGCACAACTCCAGGTTGAGGAGAGATGTGAATGTATGATTCAGCTACATGATGGGCACTTTCTGGTAATACTGAGAGTGGTTTTAATGAACTCAAAGTTCAGACAGCTCCAAAAGAGCATTGTTTAGTTGTGTTTGCCTAAAGGGAGTTTTCCTTCACACTATAAATTATATATTTAATTACAGTGAAATCTTATCTACAATTAGCTGACATTGCTATTACGTGTTTATGACAACGATGATGAGATCTATGTAGCTGTTATTATGGCTAATTATGAAGGTAGAGAAATAATCTTATGAACTTAGAAGTTACCATATGGGTCTTTATAATGTATGGTGAATACCAATTATGGACATGTGAAAAAGATTAATTTCTCAAACTGAGATTCTTTTATCCTTACTAAAGATATGCTTCCTGTGAAGGCAGATATAAACTGGGACTCCTATGATGCACCTGGTCCCATTTTGCCTCCCGTGTGATTACTGACATTTCTTTTTTGTAAGAATGGATTACTATAAAATCAAAAGTAACCTCTTGTACTAAAATGGATTATGGAAAACACATTACAATGCTTTCTAATATCTGCATTTCCTCCCAGTTTTTGGCTCCATTTTTTCCTGCAGGGAGAGCGTGACTCATTGTCACAGTAGGAAACAACTAGTTGCACTGCTAGTGTGGCTATTAAGGAGCTAGTTTTAGATGCTAGCAATGGTACAGCAACTCCTCACTTAACGTCCTAGTCATGTGTTCTTGCAAAATGCAACTTTAAGCGAAATGATGTCAGGAGAATCCAATTTCCCCATAAGAATTAATGTAAACGGGGATGGGGGGGTTAGGTTCCAGGAAAAAAAATTTCACCAGACAAAAGACATATACACACACGTGTGTCTATGTATGTGTATATATATATATATACACACACACACACACACACAGAGATATATATTATACACACACACATATATATATATATATACACACAATATATATATACACACACACACACACACAGATATATACAGTATAAGTTTTAAGTAATTTTAAACAATTTAATACTGTACTCACCAATGATGATTGTGAAGCTTGGTTGAGGCAGGGGTGTAGCGGGGTCAGGGGTTTTCCCACTTGCCAGCAGGACCACTGGGTGGGCGGAGCAAGCCCCCACGCCCCAGCCCCACTTCCCGGCAGGAACACCGGGTGGGCAGAACGGAGCAAGCCCCCGTGCCCTGACCCGGGCACCGGCAAGAACGCCGGGTGGGCGGAGCGGGGGGAGCCAAGCAGTATTATAAGGGAACATTGCAGGACTTTAAAGGAGTATGTTCTCTAATAGGTCAGCAACCTAATAGCGAAACGTTAACTGGGAGGACTTTAAGTGTGGAGTTACTTTAGTTAAATGCTAGCAAAATTATGAAAGCATCTGTAAGTTCTTTTACATTCTTAGGTGCAAAGAGCTATGCAAGTGCAAAATATCATCTTTAGTGCCTGATGCCACACACAACTGTTTCTAGCATGAGCACTACTTAATGATTATTTTTATTATTTCAACTGCTGTAGGACCCTAATCAATGATCAAGAACCCACTATACAAATCACCACAAAGACTGTTCCCGCCCCAGAGAGCTCACAAACTACAATTTAGACAATAAGCAGCAGGTGAATAAACTGACAAATGAGGAAGGAAGGGATAAGAAGGGGAAAAAGAGGCAGAGACGTGTTTGCATAAATTAGTGCCCACTGATGATTGCTGTGTTGGCTGCTAATCAATACTTGGACCCTTCTGCAAAATTATTTGCTAGCAAACCCTATCCCTGACTCTTTGCATAAATGACGAACCATCTCTACCTACCATATGGAACTGCAGAACCACATCATCACCACCACATAGCAAGAGAAAGAAAGACGCACTTACATAGGTTTTGGATAGTTGTGGAGATAGCCAGACAACTGGCTGCGGTGGGAAGAGGAGTGGACTGGTCTGCCTCAGGTGAGAGTGGCGGTATTGGAAGAGAAGAACTAACTAGGGGACAAACTCCATACCACATGATGTGTATATTCTATTTTCCTTTAAAAATGAAGATTTTTATTATTGCAACTGTTTCTTTTTAAAAACATTGGTCTTCCACTGAGTTTGATGGATGAGGTAGTCACTTATTGTGGATCCTGGGATGAGACCAAAGTCCATTTTCAGACTTGCAGCCCCATCTGCAAGTGCCACAGGTGAAGACAATTGTAGATGAATGTGTGCTGCTTTTAACTTTGCAGATTACAACTCTCTCCTTAACTGCAGCAATCAGCATGCTCTTAAAATTTTTCGTTCTGAGGTTGCAGAGCTACCACCATTGGGCCTTGTCATGGACCTAAGAGCTCCCTGGTCAACATTGACAGACAGGCCTTGAGAGAGTCTTTGTAATGTTTTCTTGGTCTGCCCCTAAAATGAGTTCCAGTCTGCCATTCTCTGTAAAAGACCATCTTCAGTATTCTGTCAGCTATATGGACCACATGACTGCAGCACCTTAGCTGCGCTCTCATTATAAAAGCTTCAATGCCTGTGATGTTGCAGCATTCAAGGGCTTTGGTGTTTGGAACCAAATCTTGCCATTTAATTCCCAATATCTGCTGTAGACATCATAGGTGGGATTGGTCCAAGTGTTCTATGTGGCATTGATAGTCCACATATCTCAGCCATAGAGGAATCTGGTGATGACGATTGCACAGCAAACATCAATTTTTGTTTGCAGTCTGGCACCGTGTTCATTCCAAAGATAACACTAAAGTTTACCGAAGGCATTGCTGGCTGCCCCAATGGTACTTCCTAATGTTGTCGTCAAATCATTCCATTTGGTGAAGCTACACTGCCTAGGTAGCAGAATTTGTCAATGACCTTGAATGATACATCATCAATAGACACATCTGCCTTTCCTTTTGTAAAGGTGAATAATGTTGGAATCTGTAAGTTTCTGTGGCACAGTCTCCCTTTCCTAAAACCTTAAGTAGAGGTCAATGATGTTCCTGATCAGCTCGTGGTCTCCATATTTGAAGATCTCCACAGGAATACCAGCTGGATCCACTGCTTCACCATTTACCACCTGCTTGACAACTTTCCGTACTTCACATATGTTCGGTGGAACTGAGAGTTGGTCTTGAACTGAAAGTTCTTCAAGATCTTCAAGTGCTGATGCTGATTGTAATGTATGGACAGTTCAGAACCTTATTAAAGTGTTCAGCCATCTTTTCAGAATTTGACCACAGTCCTCCTTCAGCAGAGACTCATCCGCATTCCATACAGGGGTGATACCATTACACTGCGGGCCATATGCAGTCTTCAGCTCATCAAAAAAAAACATTTGGAGTCTTTTTGGTCTGCCAGTGATTGAAGCTGTTCAGCTTTCATTTTCCACCAGCTGTTCTTCATATGGGGAAGCTTAGCTTGCATGTTATATTTTAAATAGCTCATTAACTACACAATACATTGTTCTACACTTTCTCCCACATACCTAGCACAAATTTGTTTTTAAAAAATAACTCTTGTATGAAGAGAGGCCACTGCTCAGAAATGTTAAACTTCTTTAGTCCACTGATGGACAACTTCCAGCTGTGTTACCCCAGTAACTGCTGCATTGATACTATTGTACTTGAAGACACCCGAATAATATATCAGTGTTGGTTGTGTTTTGTTTTTTTTTTTAAACATAAAACAGTTCTTGCTCCTTCCTCCAAATAACTCTTGCCAGCAATAAAATTTGATTCCTTACCACCATTTTGTTTCTATCCATCACACTCATATATTTGCTAATACAAAGGGAGTTTTGAGTGATTGTGTTGCAGGAAGCTTTTTTAATTAAAAAAGGAATCACTTCCACCCTGCCTCACTGATCTAAAAAGCTACAGGGACTATGGAAACCAATGTAAGATAAGAGGAGGTACATCAAATTTTAGCCTACCCATCTCAAAAGCATCCCTTGAATGGGTTATTTTCTACAGTGAATTACATTTTAAATGCATGCTTCCCAAAATTTATAAGCCTGCTTACCTGTCTGTAGTGGCGTGTACTCTGTATCATGTGCATATACATGTTGTACACAAAGTTAGCCATCTGAGGCATGTTCTTTATAACATGTACTTGGTGAGAAGGTCTTTCTCCATTCTAGGGGAAAAATAAGAACAGTTAACATTCAGTAATACAGAAACACCACAATGGATCTTCAGACAGGTGCTTTTCCCATGTTAGGGAAGACCTGGAAAAGCACTAAAGTGAAATTAAATGTATTTTAAACAAGACTGTGTGGAGGGAAGGGGACTAGGTTCTTGTCTAGATATGCAGCTCCTATAAATGTAATGGAAGGTTATCTATCTATGCATCAAGAGAAAGATGCATCATTTGATTTGGAAAATTTGTAAAGGCATAGGCAAAAAAATTACAAAAATAGTCACCTTAGAAACACCTTTATTTTTTTACATGAGCATATTGCCATAGGGGCTGAAAGTCCCATTGCTATGCAGCATCAACTGTTTCATTTAATTTACGGTAGCAATATTAACCTACAGGTTCGGAACATTAACCTCTTGATTCCAAGATACCAAAGTGGCCACTTGCAAAAGGAGGAACAAATACCATTATAATCTAGAAGCACAGACTAAAATTCCACTGTTATATTTGTAACTTCTATCCTATCATTCCAGGAAAACACATCTATTAGATTCCAGATATCTCAATTCAATATATGTGACACAATCACACAAAAGAATTCAAGTAAAAGACAGTGATGATTAATAGATCAAACAATACTTCTCAATATGTTGTGTCAAATGTTCAGTGTATACTTCTCTTATTAAGAAGCCACTTTTTTTATTTCAGAAAATTTATATGACTCCTAGTAGTGGTTTTAGCTGGAACAAAATATACAACATACTGTACTCATTGTACTGAAGTGTTTAATGTAAAATAAAATATATTGTAGATTCACAGTGTTGCACAAGAAAGCTCAATAAGAAAACATGCACAACTGAACGAAATTATGCCTATAACTAAAATACAAACAATTCAATTAATGACAGCTGGTGCAACATGGCAAATTCCTGGGCCATAATTATCCAAATGACATTTGTCTGTAAAGAGTAAGCTTTGCAATCCTGTCTCTTTTACTATGCACCCAGTGAAGAAAGTGGACTGCTAACACACTATTCTATGTAGTACAATTTAGAACAGATGTGCTTACCTGTCTGATCGTTGGAAAATACTCTGAGGGAATTATATGCAGTTGAAGGGGTCGAGCTGCGAGTTGGCTGAAAGCTGGAGTTAGCTCAAAGCAGTTCTGGAACAGGGATACTCTTGCAAAGATATAAAGCCCAAGCCGGGCTCTTGACATAGCAACCACTAGACGTCTGACATCCCTTCAGGAAACAAAACATCAAATAGATCATGGTCTTTTTACTACCTACAGTGCTTTGATTGCCACTGAAATGTCTTCATAGAACATTAATCTCACAGCCACAGATAATTAAAGGACATATACAGCATTAGGAAATCTGTAGATATAAGGGAATATCTTTCTCAGTTTTTTCAAGTTTATTCTAGTATTTACAGTAAAGGTTTACATTCGAGTTCATATACAGTAACAAGACGTTTCTACAAAACTGTGTCCATCTTTTTCCTCCAAAGGCTCTTTTTTCCTCCACAGCTAAAGTGCAGATATTCTAAAACGTGCACATCAGAAGGGAACGTCAAAAAGGCCAAACACCTCTCAGACACAAATCAAGCCCAGACAGACCATTTTCTCAAGATTATTTCAAGCCTTTACTTGAACTAGCATTGCATTCCCTACTATTTTAATAAGGTAATATTAAGTTCACTGTACCTACAATAATATGCACAAATTACAGTATTTAGATAAAACCCAATAGTGAAGGGCAAAGTGGCTGTGAAGTGGGTACCAGACAGCTATATATGAAATTGGTTTTGAGCTTCTTTCAATAAGTCACATTAAACTTTGTTACTACAATTTATTACATAATTTGTACATGTAATATGGACAGTCCTTGCCTAATTTTACCAGAGCAGAATTTCTGGTAAAGTGAATAATGCATTTTAATGTATTTGGGAAGTTATTTTCTTACATACCTAAGATGACCAACAGCTTTGGTTCGCACTAATGAAAGGATAATATAATCATTTTGTTGACCTTGAAATCTGTCTACAGTTGTCACCTAAAAGGTAAAAAGAAAGATAAATTAAGATTAACTCATCTACTGTATCTTCCAAAAAATATTTGCATTTCCAAAGGTATTAAGAACAACTTAGAATTGTAGAAGCAAACTGGCCTCCTGCAGCAAAAAGTTTCATGCCAAACTGATGCTGAATGTTGACATGACTTGGGGAGAGGGGAAGAGCATGTCTTATCTCTCTCTGTTATGGTTCATTTCTTACCACTGCCTCAAAAACATCAACCTTTATGGGCTGGAACTATGACAAACATAATCCCCCCCCCTTTTTTTTTTACTAGAGAGATTGCAGTGGCTTGAAGACTATGAAAGAATGCAAAACAAAAATCAAGGAAGGTATCAATAATATTTGTATTTAGCTCTGATTCAGAGATGAGGCGAGTACCTGCAATTTCCAAAGAAATTAAGATGAGTTGAACACCTTTAACATTCATTGATGTCTTTTTAAATGTTGGAATACTACTTCTAAGGGGACACCCATAAAATCAGCCTCATGAGCTTCCAGCTATCCTTGGTGGTTACTGGCAAGCGAAAACAAACCTATGTATTTGGGGCTGAATCTATGTTCTTTTACATTTAGCCTGCTGTTAACCATTTTCCTCATATAGTTTTGACATCTGCCATTTAAAGTTCACTGTCACTCAGCTGACCAGCTAACATATCAATTCTAATTGAGCAGCAACAACTGTTAAACAATGGATCTCCGACACTCACCTCTCTATCTTACTTGTTAAGACTAAGTCAAAAGTCACCACTCCCTTGTTGGCAGCAAAACAAGCTTTTGTTTGAGGTATCGAATTATTTCTCAGCCCTATATCTACATGCTCCGTTCAACCAACTAACATTGGGGTAATATTACCAGCAGATTTTGCTATGGCATCACTCTCTTAATACATCAAAAAGCTCATCATAGCCTAAAATCCTGCAACAGATATTCCAAGGTAAATTCAGTGCCCCTTTTGCAGAAATTGGTGTTGTGCATGCAGAATTTCCTTTTCCCCACAGAAATCGGCTGCAGTGCTGCTGGCTGCCACTAGAGGCCGCTGTGGAGGGGTGGGGAGAAGAAGGGAAGAGATGGGTGTCTGGGCTGGGGCGGCCACAGCTGGGCTCTGGTGGGTGGTGGGTGCCTGGGCTCCGGGGTGTATGTGTGGAATCTGGGCAAGAGGGGGCCCTGTGGCTGCACTCTACGAGGAAGGGGGTTTGGGTGTAGGGGCATCGTGGCTGGGCTCCGGCGGGGGCGGGGGGTTGTGGGTGTCTGGTCCCCCAGCTAGGCTCTGGAGGCATGGGGAAGAGGGCAGAAAACAGGGACTGAGTTGTCATAGGGGTTTCTTTAACTTTCTACTCCTGGGAGAATTTGTGAGTGTGTCTATTGTTACAGACATACTCGCCGACAGGTATTTTGAAATAAATTACCAAAATAATTGAAGTGTGTGTGATTAGTAGTGTTATTTTGACAAATAAAATTTGCAGAATTTTAAAATATTGTGAGCAGAATTTTTATTTTTTTGGCGCAGAATGCCCCTAGGAGTAAACGGACTCCTACAATTATGTTAGTATTTCTGTTAATTAGGATGTTTTTTAACCAGATATTTCACCAAGTGGGCACCTACACTCTGGAAAGATCTTTTGTTAGTAATTCTGGTCCTTCTGTTATGTAACACTGATAGCCATCTAATTTATCCTTCCTGTATAGCTTGCAACCTGGGAGCACCATATTTCATCTAGTTATACAGCCTACGCAAGAGTCCAAATAAACAAAAGTAAGCAAAAAAATTAATGTACTGTTGAGTAACATCTTGGGAACAGTGGTCTATCCACAGTATCCCAGTGAATATAACATTTGTAGTCATCAAAGAACCCATCACGTAGATATTGGTGATACTATATAATTATATTGTTTTGTAATTTATAATTCTAAAAAGTCAGAGAATGATAAGTTATTTTGAAAATTACCTTGTTTGGTCGGCCTATAATTGGGTTAGTCCCACAACGCTGATTAATGATATCCCGGATCAGGTGCTTTTGTCCATTATAGGTTGTCAGAATACTTATCTTGTCGGCAGGGTAACCAAGCAGGCACATGTACATGAAGAGTGCTACAACATACTCTGCTTCACCGAGATTCTGCATTTTAAAAGGAAAATAAAATGTTAGTTGGCTCATTTGTGCCTCTGACTTTGGGAGTGAGTTGACACTACTGAGGCATCCTGGTGCATTCAGAAGACACACTGGAAAAGAAGCTAATTGTAGAAAAAAAGAGGAATGAACCAGATAGCCTTAAGTTTCATCCATCTAATTTAGTTTTCTAAAGGGATCGCTGAAAATCCTTAAGTTACCATATTATTGTTAACTGATGTTTCTGTGGTTACAACTGCTGATGCGCTGAGCAATTAAAAATACATAAATTGAATAAAAATTCTTCTGTGACTATGGGTGTATGAACAGATGAATCAAGGAAATATTTACATGAAAAGCTTAATGCTAATAAGCTATGTGTAAATATGCTTAATCAGTCCCACCAACCAATAACTTCTTCGAAATGCTCAAATACTCTTAGTTCATTTCAATATAGGATTAAAACTGAAGTTATCAGAAGTCCTTGAATCAGGGACTGTGTCTTGCTTTGTACAGTGGGGTCCTGATCGGGACCTTTGAGTACTACAATATACAAACTAATTTTTCATTTCTTCCTCACGGGAGACAATGTGAAGTTACAACTCTTATTTATACTGCCTCAAAACCATGGAATCATGGTATACAGATACCTCCAATTAAGTAAGTATCATAGTTTTGAATAAGTTTTACGGCTGAGATTTTTCAAAAGTGCTTAGCAGTGATTTAACTCTGATCCTACTGAAGCCATTGGTAAAATGCTGACTTCATTGGCAGCAGAACTAATCTAATGCTGAGGATGTTTGAAAATCCCACCCTCAACCATTCATCCAAAGAACATCATATTACAATTTCAAATTGTTTTATTTATATAAATACAGGCTGCAACTCGTCCCTCTTTTCCCTGTTTCATTTCTGATTTACTTGGTTGAATTTATTGCTACAAATACTAGAACACTTTACTCATGGTCTACAAATTCTGGTCACCGTTAAGTCTATACAAAAAGACATACTCTTACATTCATGAACACAAATAGCATTCTGAAAGCCATATTCATCACTGGCTATTAACAAACCTTGAATCACCAATTACACATTCCATGTGCTATAAATACGCACACAGTGTGTACAAAAACCTCACATTAAAAAAAATATCAGAAATTACATGGAAAGGATAAAAACTACTATGATGAGAAAGCGTCTACATTTTTTAGTATTATATCTTCCACAAACTACAGAACAATTAAGTTCTTATGAATAAAGAAAATGAAGGGAAGCTGGTGTTATAGCAGTGATATACTCACTATACCTGAATATTGGTTTAATTTTTAAAAAAGTAAAAGAAGACCTCAGCCATAGTCTACAAACATCTTTATACACCTTAGAAAAATTAAAAGATTCAAAAATAAAATCTTCACAGACACATTCTTGAAAATCCTTACCTGTGTAAATTATATCCAAGACTTACACAATAGGAACCATAACATAGGATCCTATTTTTGTACATCTGTACCACAGTTTTTAATACAAAGCTTTAGGTAAGAAAGGAACAAAGAGTTGATGGTTTGGGGCATTTGATTTTCAGCGCAATAGAGGATGCACATGTGATTAATGGGGCCAGATGAAGATTGCACTTTATCTAAGCTGGTTGTTGGCTGCGGTATAGCATTTGACATAATTGAATTGTGAATTTCCTAGTGTTTTAATGTTTGCTTTGGTGGTGGTTATACTTGAGGAGCCTGAACTGTTCCACAACATTGTGCTGAAATATACATATCCATGCACACATTATACACATAGTACAGTTTGATCCTTTTGTGAAGGCTGGTTTGGGAAACCATTTTTTGGAACACTATATACAGATCAATAAAAACTGTGACTCTTCCAGTCTGGATGTGTATCTCAAAGCAAATCCTCCTTCTTCCAAGGACAGAGAAGCTCTGCCACATATTTTAATGATGAAGCAGATAAACAGGATTATAATTGGCTGTAATTGGCACTGGTACAAAAAACTATTTATCTGCAACAAAATATGCAGTCAACAAAAAAAGGTGAAATTACTTCTACTTTTCGGGGGTCGGGAGGGAGAGTCAAGGAAAATCATAGTTCAGTGTAAGAGGCAAACACCACAGACTAATTATTATAATTTTATGACCTCCACAACTAGATAATCACAAGGACTGATCATTAAAAACTGATTTCCACTGTGTATGCAAAAATATAAAAAAGATGTTAATGCTCTGAAAGCTTACTTAACTTCAGTTAAAGAAATCAATATTCCATCTTCATTTCTTTCCAGATTTAATAAGACATAATGCTGCATTTCTAATAGGGCACTGAATCTCTATTCTTACCTGGTAGAAATAAGGATTGGGTTCAGACTCTCCCACACCATGGAAATCTTCTACATTTATAAGCTGGAAATCATACAGAAATCCAGCGTTTGCGGTTCTGAACTCTGGCAGAAGTTGCACATGAGGCAGATTACCCAGATTCTTATAACGCCAGTTGTAGAGGTTACACAAGCTTTCAGAAAAACAAAAACAAAAACAGTAAGAGAAGCTTGAACTTCTTCCTGGCACAGATGAAAAATATTTCTTAAAAGTCACATGCAAACCAGATAGATACAATCATGTTTCTGTTTTTCTCATCACTATGCCTTGCTTTTCAAAGGTTGCCTGGTATTTTTATTTTAAAGTTTTTTTGCTTCCTTTTCCACAGTAGGAAACTTGGGGTCTCATTTCTCTCTGTTTAATGGGAGGAATGTGGCAAGGTATTTGGAGGATGTGACTGGTGATATCACACATGGCTGTAGTCTGAACTACAATTCTCCCTTCCTTCAACTGAGGGGGCAGGAGATCATGGACATATCTTGCCAAGATCCTCCTGGTAGAGAGTGATGTGAGGACCTGATATTCCCATTTTACAAATGGAGAATGTAGGCAGAGACACACTAATGGCAAAATTTTCAAAAGTGTTTTTAAGTCCCATTTTCAGAAGCGACAGACATTTCGGAGCCTAAGTCCCAATTAAAGTCAACGAGTCTTATGCTGTTAAGTGCAAGTAACTTAAGAAAAAACACCTTTGAAAATTTTGCTGTAAGTAACCTGCCAGAGGTCGCACAGGAAGACTGTGGGGGAGCAGGAAATTAAACTCCGGTCTTTTGAATGCCAGGCTAATGCCCTAACCTTTGGATCTTCCTTCCTTCTGAACCAACCAATTCCTTCTGAATCTTCCAAGTGCAAAAGACTATATCTCTCTTACTGCAAATACTAAAGGCAGTTAGGTTCATCCATGGGGATTGAACATGCCCAATCTACCTTTATACAGAGCCATATGAAAATACTAAATTATTAGTAGATTAAATATAATTTAATGATGATACTCGGGGGCCTTGAAAAGACCATGGTATAGGGAATTGGAAACTACCTCAGATGGGGCAGACTGAGGAGGAGAAGCCAGTCTCAGAAATGAGGTAACATATGTTCCATTCTGTATTCTGACGGCTCCCGCAGTCTGAAACAGTTGGGATGAAACTACAACAAGAAAAATTGGTAGGAAAGAAGGAAGAAGAAGAAGAATGTTCTTCCACCTCCTCCTCTAAAATTAGTCTATTTTCGGTATACTGCTGAGAGCACCTTCCTGCCAAGGGATGTTTCTGCAAAGGAATGCAGGTCAAGCCTGTGGGGCTTTTGTAAGAGTGTTGAGAGATGACCAGGTGACAGCTTTACAGATTTCCTTTATGGCGGCTGATGCCCTTTCTGGCCAGGATGTTAACATGAATGTACTGAGTGGGCTCTTAACCCCCTCTGGAATCAGTTTATCTGTAGCTGAATACACTGCTGATATAGAGCTTGATCCACCTAGCCAGGATTGGATTAGATCAGGGGTCTTCAAACTTTTTGAATCGCACACTCCCAGGGCCAGCTCTGGGGAAGCAAAAAAAAAGAAAAAAAAGAAAAAAGCTGCCGCCAAAGAATCAGCGCTGCTGCCGCCGTGCCAGTGGCACTCCTTCGGCGGCGCTCCTCCTGCCGTGCACCCCCACGGATGGTCTGATGCATCCCCTAGGGTGCACGCACTCCACTTTGGAGACCACTGGTTTAGTGCTTCAGACCCAGGTATGAAAATAAAAGAAAACAAAGATGTTTTCCTATATGGATAGGATCCACTAATTTACATTTTAACATATTAAATAATTTTTCTTTGGGATATTGAGGCTTTGAGTAAAATGAATGTCTAGTGGATAGGGCACAGGAATGAGACTCAGGATCTATTCCTGGCTTTGCCAAGGGTCTGCTGGGTGATCTTGGACAAATGACTTCACCTCGATCAGTTTCTCCATCCATAAAATGCGGATAACACTGACCTCCTGTGTGTAAAGCGCTTTAGAGAGCTACTGATGGAAAGCACTACATAAGAGCTAGGTATTATTTTTATTAATAAGGCAGATTTATTTCCTGTCAAGTACCGAAGGAAGAAGTAATCTTGATACAAATGACTCTGGAGAACGAATAACAGTGTTGGTCCTGTGGAAGATGCAGTAAGCCTCACGTCTTCGGAGAGCTGAGAGCCATAGAGGTTTGAATGCCTAGATCATGAAAACATACAAATATTGTGTACAGATCCCAGGTAGGAAAAAATTGCCCTAATTGTTGGCTTGGGTAGTCATGCTGGACAAGGAAACTGTTACCATCAGGTATAGGAGACTTGAATGGGCCTGCATTAATGATGCTGTTTAATGCTGAGACATGTAATGCAATAGTGGAATGTCTTGGGCCCAGGTCTAGGCCACGCTATAAGACAGTGTTTTGCAATCATTTTTCATTTGTGGGCCTTTAAAAGAAATTTTGAATTTGAAAATCTTAGACCCCCACATGTTGAAAACCACTGCTGTAAAAAATCCTGGCTTCAAAGAGTTGATATATTTCTGTTTTGACACCAGTAAAAGGTTTTTTGTCTAGACTCTTGTAGGACAAAAGGGTGTAAAGCCTGCACAAAGGTAGCAGAATCTATTATTTGGAGGAGTATCTTGTTTTGGACTTGGTGATCAATTAACCAAGCTATCAGGTTTAGTTAATCTTGACTGAGATGTGGCAGACAGAAGAGAAGATTCTGCCTGCAAGGAAGACTGAGCAGAGTAATAACTATGCATAAGACCAGAAGACCTAGGAGCAGCAGATAAAGATGGATGAGACTGCGCCCCAAGGCGCCTAGGGTAGCCCACACAGAAAATACCAAGGTCAGGGCAGGCTGCAAAAAGGAGAGCAAATTGTACTGGTGAGTCTTAGCAGCACTGGTGAGTTTGCTGGCTTGTAAAGTCCCTGTGGAACACATCCAAAGCTTGGATGGGTCTATCAGTCCTTTGTTCAAAACTTTAGTTTGTAGAGAAGATATTCCAGAGGTAAGAAGCAAGATTGAAGGCAAAATGGAAAAGATGCAGCTGCCTTTTTATATCCTTTGCCATATGGTTTGTATATCGTCTGTCCCAAACAAAAGTTCACAGCACATGGGCATGGAAATGCTCTTGGAGTCCTCTGTCCACAAGCGTGTCCCTACATGTCCTGCTGTCTCATAGGTGGAGCCACGGGCTTCTCTCAATGGGTTCATTGTACAGCTGATTGCCCTTGATGGGCCATCAAACAGGATAGATAGTGTTGATGCCAATCTGTTTGGGGTGTTGTCACCCAGAAACACAGCATGGGTTTGAGATGCAAATATATCACACATATTTGTAATTAACGATATAAAGATAATACATATAAACCAGATCATATTTAGCAAATCATAACATTTCCACTATCTTACATGGCATATGCTGTAAGATTCACTGAAATTTTGTAATATTGGTACCAATATTATAATAAATGGTCACCCATATTCCATACAGCATCACACCTCCCCAGGCAAGACATCAGTGCCTTGGATCCTGTCAAACCTTTCCTAGTTCAAGAAGGCTGGTCTTCATTTTGTCCATCTCAACTGTTAGTGGGATCATATGGTCACATAGAACCAGGTGTCTGAGAACTAGCATATCCTGCTATTACAGGTCTGTTGCTGATAAAGGCAGATCAGTTCCCTGATCCCAGCTTCCCTCTGGTGGTCTTGGGCTAGGTCTTAAGCTATGGAATAAGTAGAGCCCTTCTCTGGTACCTTTGTTGCAGTTAAGAACAAAAATAACTTCTGTCCTCGTATGAAGACTCATTGCCCTTCTTGGACTTTGCTGGAGTGGAAAGCAAACACTGGTCTGTCTGTGTCCTCAATCCCATCCTACCAACCTTCTTCCCAACCAGGATTCCACCCAAGAACTTGGAGGCACAGAGGGGATTTACTTTCAATAGTTATCTACTGTTCAAAGGAAAAGCCAGAGTTGGCATTCATTTAGTCTCATGGATCAGTCCATCACTAACACAGTAGGCATCTCTTTAGTATTAACTTGAATTCATCAAGGGATCAAGGCTTTTTAGCTTATTACACCAGCACACTGTGGTGCTAGAGATTGCCAGTGTGGCTCTAAGGGCTGGTAATGCTTCAAAGTCCCTTCTATGGATGGCTTCTATGTTACTGTCTGAAAGATCTTTTGTGAAGAAATCCCCCTCAGCAAAAATTACTGCCTTTTGCAATGGACGCCACAGTTACATCAACTCTTGGTAGGGTGAAGAGTGTGTGAATATGGGTTCAAGGCTTTTTTTTTGTTGAGTCTCAAAAGATGGGAGAGGATGGAATCATTTTTGCAGAGGTATCTCCAGAAGAATCCTGACTGGTTTGGGCAGGGGGATGCAGCGATCCCAACAAACTGCCCTAACTTTGAGCTCTTTCCCTTTGCACAATGAGGATCTTCAAATAAATTCCACATCCTTGACTCCCAAAGCTGTCACTTCACAGATTGAGCACCTCCTAACTATGGGCTTGCACCCTTTGGTAGGCTATATTGTGATAGGGAAGGAAAGATGGAACAAAGGATTTGAAGGAGTTTGGGGGGTGGTACCAATTGAGGAGCAAAATGTTAGGAAAATATTGGTTTCCACCCCCCACCTCCAAGGGAAAAGAAAGAGGTGGGGGAAAAGGGATTTTGCCAACTGTTGCCAACAAATCATTTTAAAGGTTAGCAACCAATAAGACTGAAGTGCTGCTGTTTGTCCACCATATTCAAAGAATCTGGCAGAAGGGGAATCTCAACCCTGGAGCATCATGGAGAAGTCTGAATTGTTTCTCACATACATCTCCAACGAAGGGGAAATGGTCAATATCCAGAGAGACAGAATATTTAAAATAAGTAGCTTCCCATAAAGTGTCCATTCCACCAAAAATTGGGGAGGAGAAGGGAGATGGGGTAGGATAAGTGAAAGCCTTGATCAGGAGCTGTTTGCATCAAAATGTAAGAATTCTTCAATCCTTTTCATGCAAATTTTCTGGGGAGATGCAGCGCAACACATGGCAAAATTTAACTATCATTTAGTTGCATTAGATACTCAAACATTATAATTTAAAAATGCAAATCTCCCTGAAAAATATTTGTAGTGAATATGCTCAGAAAACAGATATTGTGCAAAGCTTTTAATTTTTCAATAAATTTTTATAATGGAAAAATTAATTTTAAAAGTTTTCATTTATTATGTTCATTTTACTTTAAGCTGTTAAAAAAGAAGACTAACTGCAGTAAGTTAGCTCATTTAAAAACTTATTTACCATTTTAAAATAGCAGGATTTTATAGTACAACATTAGAATCAATGTCTCACATGGCAGACGTCAAAAATGCACTGACTGGTGGTCTTTTCCTTACAAAAATTTCAACAAAACGTAGACCCTTTGCATATAGTTCTTTGCCACTGTGCAATGTGGAAGACCTGAATTAGGGAGCAAACTTAAAACTGCAAGCACTCAAGCTCCAGAATCACTGTGGAAGTGCTCCTTTTAACCGACCTGAAATCAGAACTGGTGCTAACTTTGGAGAAAGACATAGGGCAAGATCTTCAGCTGGTACAAAATGGCACAACTCCAATGGAGCCAATTTACACTAGCTTAGGATCTGGCCCAAAATGCCTGCCCTCAGGGATAGCGCTAAAATAAAATGTACTGATATCCAACAATGACAAAGAATTTGGAAAATAAAAAAAAGTCAATGAGTTGGTGTTTACAATAAAGTTTATGGATAAAGGGCAAGATATAGTCCCAGTGAAACTCAACTGACTTCAGTGGAGTTGCACTATGTATCTATTTTAGTTATATATTGAGCAGAAATCATATTATCCAGGTGCTAAAACAGAATAAAGTAGATGCTACTCCTACCTACCTAGAGTTTGGTGGTTTGTTCTTGAATTTTAATCTATCAGTTTAGCTTCTGTTATTGTGGACAGACAATTGTGAAAAGTGAGATTTGCAGATTTTAAAGGTGGCTACTCCAGATCACTGTTTGATCTCTTCTGACAATATGTTCTACAGACAGAGATCCAGAACTGACTACCACCTAACTCAGTTCCCTGATGAGCACAGTGAACTTGGGACAGTTGTGGCTGGAGAAGATCCACAGGCAGCTAAGTCGCATCCTGTTAAAGGATTTAGTGATAAGGACCAGTACTCTGAACTGGAGCTAGAAACAAATGGGTACTATTGTGATAATTGGGCCTACAAATTTACCCTAATTGTAAGTTTAACTGCAAAAAGTACATGAAAGTTCATAAACTGTCACAATGACCAAAATTTATAAGAAGGAGAGAGAAAGACTGAAATAACTTAAACAGAAAGGGTTTTAGTGACACCACTCAAGGACCGTATTAAGATTATGACTGGTAAAGAAGAGGATTAGACAACTTGAAATCAATGACAGAAAATTAGTGCGTCAGAAATTAGGTTTATTGATAGACAATTTAATGAGAGGATGGACTATTTCACCCCAACACTCCCTTTAATAAACTCAAAAGACAACAACTTTTGGAAAAAAAGTTAGCAGAAGAAACAGCTGCCTGCCAACAACCGTAGCAGTGAGCTGCCACACTCATCATCTCCTAGGACCTCAGACCTTCTTCATCCTAATCCTGAGACGTCTGAGCAGACTGAGCCAGAGGGAGGGAGGGAGCCAAATGACACCATCACCGCCCTTGGCTTTGGCTAAATCCTAACCTTCACCTGGATGTGAGACTGTGTCACACATATACCCTCCCACTTGTGTGTTGTTTTCTTCCCTAATCTTATTTCTTCTCTTTCCTATCCCTCTCCTTTTGCCTTCTGTTTAATAAGGGTCTGGCTTAGTCAGGCAGGACTGCATATTTTGCATCACTCCTGTAAGTCTGTGACCAGAGAGAGGCAGCTAAAAACAATGCCCTGAACAGCCCTATGCTGGTACGAGTTTGCCAAGTCTTGGAGTGGATGATAAGACCATGTGAGGTGCCAGTGTTGGTAGAACAGTGAGATTGGAAGTAAGAGTCAAAGAGTCAGAAACAGAAGCTGCATTTTTCTATCTTTGCTGTTCTTTTCTCTCCCCTCTTGTGTTTGTCTTCTATGAATCGGGATTGAACTTTAACAGCTTATCTCATCTCAACTACTTTTCTCAATTCTCCCCAAAAAGGAGAGTTATCTCCATCTAAGAGACTGTCAAAAAAAGGGTTTTTTCCCCTTTTAAAAAAAACTCTCTACAGCTAAAGGGAACAAGGGTTGTTGTTAAAATGAAAGCACTATTTAATACATTTCAAACGCTTTAATTGTTTTTCCTTCTTTTATGTATTTTTAAATAAACAGTTAAAAGGATTTTAAATAGTGTGTTTGCCATGGTAATAAGCAGGCTGAGGTCTCTGTATACTAAACCCAGAGCCCCTTGTTTAAAACTGTTTTATGTTGGACAGTTTCAAGGTCATGTTAACACATTTGACTATTTGGGCCCTTCCTTCCATATAAATGAACACAACAGAACCCACTGGAGGGTATGGAATACTGCTGTGATGTCCTCTCTAGGACTAGTCATTCTCAGGTTCCTGAGTCTGGAGTTTAAGGTTGACCGTATTGATAGAATAAGCTTGCACTCCAGCCCTGAAATGACAAATGTGTGAATCATGGATGCAAGGGAGAAATGGAATGTATTGTATTTAGTTGGGGGCTGAAGGTGATGGCTAGTGGCATTCTGTTATTTTCTTTGTTGGGCGTGTCCTGTAGTAGGTAACTTCTGGGTACTCTTCTGGCTCTATCAATCTATTTCTTCACTTCAGCAGGTGGGTACTGTAGTTGTACGAACGCTTGACAGAGATCTTGTAGGTGTTTGTCTCTGTCTGAGGGGTTGGAGCAAATGCGGTTGTATCATACAGTATGGCATTTGCTCCAACCCCTCAGAGACAAACACCTACAAGATCGCTATCAAGTACTCCAGTTCCTTAGAAGGCTACTTCTACCTCCACTCGCTGTTAAAGGGATAATGTCAGATCCAATCTGGCCTTAATACTTAAGTTATTCAAAACCATATGTTTTTAACCTGGTACCTGTGAATAAGACCTCCTGACTTTTTTCCGTTATCTTACCTTGCTCTTGCTCTTCCTTGAGCATCCAAGTCAACAGTTGGCACCCCCACACGAACAAAGCGTGTAAAGAGAGACTGTTCCATGTTGGAGTATTTTTGGAAAGCCATGTTCTTAATGACAGGTGGCAACTGATGATGGTCACCAATCATAATCCATCGTTTCAGTCGGCTGAATCCATCTTGGGGGTTCTATTAAAACAATTTAAAAATTGCAAAAACCTGGGTTATCATATGATCAGGCATTACCTTTATTAAAATAATTCTAGTAAAGTAAGGGCCAAATTGGCTTAGTTATAAGCACTAATTTTCAATATTGAATATCATTTGTTTTTAAACTGCACTGAACTGCAAATAAAATGTCAGTCTAAAGCAGCAGTGGGCAACCTGCGGCGTCAGGGTAATCTGCTGGCGGGCCGCGAGACAGTTTGTTTACATTGACCGTCCATAGGCCCAGCTGCCTGCAACTCCCAGTGGCCGCGGTTCCCTGTTCCAGTCCAACTGGAGCTGGGAGCTGCGGGCAGCCATGCCTGCGTACGGTCAATGTAAACAAACTGTCCCACGACCCCCCCAGAGGATTACCCTGATGGGCAGCATGCGGCCCAGAGGTTGCCCACCACTGGTCTAAAGGCATCTATTTCTACCCTTCCAATGTCTCCCATGACCTAAAAAAGGAGAGTTTAATATTTTATGCTAAATTGCTCTTTTTAATTAACATAATCAGATAAATTTGTACATTAACACAATATGAGTTATAGCAAGAATGAATTTGACCCACTGCAATGATGATATAACAGAAGTACTAATGCTCCATTACAAAGGGCAAAAGGAAGAATCATATGTACCTTCAGAAATTCTGGATACAAGTTAAAGGAAACTGCAGAAGCAATACAACTGTGGTTTCTGCAAGCCTTATTATGCTCCTAGTTTTTACCTTTGACAATACCTCCACTTAAAGGGAGGCTGCGTGGGGCAACCAATCAGGGCCCAATGAGAGCTGCAAGGCAGAGCAGGGTAAGTTGGTGCTGGGACCTCAAGGACTGAACACTGTGTCTCTAGAAGGCTGAGACACCTGCACTTTGAACAGAGCAACTGCTGCCAAAGACTGGGGGAGCAAGAGGAGCTGGCTGCCAGGACTGGGTAGTTGCATGCCCTGAGGAAAGGCAATGAAGGCGCTAGGGCCATGGGAAAGTGTCCCAGGGAGATATGACAGCTGTAAGAAGAGTAAGAGGCACAGCAGGAAGCTGCTATCCACAGGGTACCTGGGCTGGGACCCAGAGTAGTGGGCAAACCTGGGTCCCCGCCCCACTCGCCACTGGGGAAGTGGCAGGAGTTAGACAGACATAGCTACCCCTCCTCCCTGCAGAAGGGGGTAAATATGGATGGTGGGCAGAGTCATGAAGAGGACACTGGGATTTGGACTGTGGCGGGTCTGCAGGCAGAGATGACAACGGGAGAGACAGCACCTGGAGACGTCATACCGAATGGCAGAGCGAATCCCCAGGATGGCTAACAGGAGATGCTGCAGTGAACCTCGTGACACAGGGAGAAGAAAGAGGAAGGGGGAAACAACTGCAAGATATTTTTCTGCAGAAATCAGGATCTTTGTTATATTGGTCACAATGTATTAGTAATGTTAAGTTGCTTTCAGAATGATCCTTTTACTTATTGAGGGGATCAGACACAAACTACTGTTTTGGAAATCCAGTTCATCAAAGTTCTAGCCATCAAACTGGGTTTTCAAAAAGTGTTTGAATGATTCTTTACGCTGCTAAGTCATTGTCCAGGGGTGTGCTGGCCCCTCAGGAGCTATGCCAGAGCACAGCCCTAAAGGGCAAACATTGGCAAAGGGACAGAATCCCCGCCCCCGCACCTTCCCAACCCCCTTACATCTTCTACACTTCAACCCCCTCCCCCGCACACATACACTCCCCCCTCACTGCTCTGAACCACTGTATGCCCTAGCTCTGCACCAAAACAGTTACATGAATCTGAAAATTTTATGAGCAGTGCATGTTAGAGGGCTGAATATCAGGAACCCCTTGCCAAAGTAACTCAGCAAAATGCTTTCTTATGTTTACACTCTGTTCCATTGTTCAGGAACAGGGTGAAGTTGTGATTACATGACTCTGGTATGCATTCAGCATATTTCATCTTTCCACCATTTAAATTAATGCTAATTTCATTGAGAATACTTCTAAATTAAAATCAAAAGCTGTATGTGGATTTTACAGCACTTTACAATATTGCTCTTAAACCTGAAAAGTTTGGTCTCAGTGCAAAGTTTCTGAAAGGAAACGCTGCAGAATGCAGGCAGAGAGCTAGGAACACACAAAACACATTCTCAGAAAGCTGCCATGGGTAGGGTTTGAATTCAGAGTGAACAGGTGCTGCTCAGATTCAATGACCACAGCATGTCATCTTGAGTGTCCCAACTCCTCTAGCTGTTAACAAAGGCCTAGTCTTGCTGCACATGTGCATTTCACTTTTAGGCATGGCAGAATAACTCGTGCCAACCGGGAGTTACAAACTTTGCCCTTAATAACTTTTGCAATGTTGCTTCCCCAAAGGGGCAGTGGGAACTGGGCACTCCCTGAGATCATTCCTGAGTGGCTGTGATCAGTTTGTGGAGGATTAGAATCATAGTTTGAGCCCCAGGTGCGTGCAAAGAGAGTGTCTGAAAAATCAGGTGATTTCATAAACAGCTGATTTTGGGGGAGGGAGGGGAGGTTGTATCTCAGGAACCCCTTGTTCAAATGATTCAACATTTGGATCAATAAGTCTCCCCTGGATCCCACGAGGTACAGAAAATTTCAAGAAAATCTGAGTAAGCATGTCTGTTTTAGAGCACTTACAATTGTCAACTTAAACAAACACTCAACCATAATTACATCAGGGCTAATGAATTGCTAGAATGATTCCACAGGTTACAAGAACAAAAAAAAAGGATTTAGGAGAGGTCACATGAAACAGCTACATTTATTTTATATGCAGAATATTGTGATTTCACAATTGCCATCTTAGGTCTACTTTAAGTGAATTTTGAAATAAGCAATTGTTACAGAGAGGTGCATATAGCTCAGACAAAGATGAGAATTTTAGTCACTGAGCCACACACTGAGCATGATTCTAATCAGCATGTATCAGGAGTAAATCATGAGTAACTTCATTTATACAGGAGTAAAAATCTGACATCAGGCCCATTATACCCAAATCCACTATACCGTTCTCGAACACCTAATTGCTAAGGACAGAGTTAGTTACCTGGAAGCTTTCCCACTACTACACACCAAGCAGCTAATTTTGCTTCTGCAACATATGACTTACGGGAACTAAGGAGTTCTCTCTGCTTCGCATTACAAATTAGTGATGCATTGAGCTGATCCATGTCAAAACTATTCATATATTATTTCAAAGCAGATGGAACCATATAGCCACAAACTGTTCTGTTATGAAGTCTCTGTACCATTATTCTTGTCTTTCCATTATCTATGTTTATTGTAAAATATGTATGTAGGTATACACAACTTTAAAAACTGCCTGTTTTACAAAAACAAAGACTCTGATAAAATACACTCAATGCTTCTAATACGACACAGGAAAACATTAAATTCATAATAAATTCCTGTACTTTATAGCAAAAAAGTCTTCTATAAAATACTTCCAAAAAACTTGTTAATCAAGGGAAGTAACAAAAGTAACAAGTCCAATATCAATAACACAATTATTTTGATTTATTACTTTGGCATTTCAAACCAAAGGGCCTAATCCAGCTATCATTTAAGCTATTTCAAGGTAGTATGATCAGACTACATACATATCAATCAAAAGTCAGATAAACTGCATAAAATAAAAAGAAAAAATACAGAAGAACCAATAACTCGTAATAAAGGCTACGATTTCGTCACAGATATTTTTTAATAAAAGTCATGGACAGGTCACAGGCAATAAATAAAAATTCACGGCCCATGACCTGTCCATGACATACTATAAATACCCCTGACTAAATCTTGGGGGTGGAAGGGGCGCTGCTGTGAGGGGAAGCTGGGGCCAGCAACACCAGCTGCTGGGGGCCGCTAGAGAAGCAGTTGCACCAGCTGCCCTGAGGGCCACTGCTGGGGGCCGCCGACAGTGGCTGCTTCAGCCGCTACTGGGACTGCTGCTCGGGTAGTCCGCAGGGCTAGCTGCATCAGCTGCTGCTTGGGCGGTCCCCGGGGCCAGCTGCCTAGGGCCGCTCAAGCAGCAGCCAGTGTGGCTGATGTGGGGCTGCCCGAGCAGCTGGCTGCAGGCTACTCCAGCAGCAGCCAGTATAGCTGTCCCCAGGGCCAGCTGCTTGGGCAGCCCTGGAGTCAGCCACACCAGCGGCTGCAGAAGTCACAGAAAGTCATGGAATCTGTGACTTCCGCGACCTCCATGACAGACACGGAGCCCTACTCATAATGAAGAGAATTTATGAACTGATAGCCTGATCTTGAAAGCACCAACCGTTCCAAACTCCTACTACTTCAATGGAAACTGCAAGTACTCTGGAACTTTCAGTAACGGGCCCTCTTTTGAGGATGAAACTGATATACACTTAAATGAGTTTGTCGTCATGGGTAACAAGCAAATACTATTCTCAAAAATGCATACCACACTTTCAGTCATTAGCAAAAACATACTGTTCAAGATTTGAGAGAGAAGTAATTTATTTTACAATGAAATTCTCACCTGCAAGAGGAGAGGTATAAAGGTTTCTATCTCCAGAATCTGAGCAGACTCTTCCATTAAGATGTTATCATACTGAGAGAGAGGGGAGGGAAGGGAGGGGGATTAAATATTCTGATCAATAAAAACATAAAAACAGAAACAGGAGTACATTTTTGATGGGGAGAAGTTATTTCAGAACCACATATACAGACAGTTGAAATTAACTTTTCATAGACTTGTACCAAAGGAGCAGCAACATTTCTTTTCTGTCTCAGAAGCATCCATGAGCATGAAGACAAATCTCCATTAGAACCTATATAAATAAGTCCACATGGATTCTTCTGTGACTAAAATTATCATTATCAGGATCAGCCTATAATGCTGCTCAGTACTCAGTCAACAAGGCTCTAGCATAAAATGAATGCTATGCCTATCTTTTCAGAGGTAAGTGTGGCTTGTATCACTGACAGAATAAGCTGAATACCAATCCTGTTCTATTAAGTTTTTGATTTACTTTGCATTGGGTCCCTATCTTATCTTCTCCTTTTCTTTCTTGTTCCAGGAATAAGCCCTAAGCTCCTTCTTCCATTCATACTTCTGAAAGTCCACTGGCAGGAAGGATGGCGGGGAGGGGGGGACTTGCTGCTGAAGACAGATTTACCAGGGAGACAAGCAACTCCATTTCTTCTGTTTATCCTGCTCCATTCCATTACCCACCTAATAGCCATATCTAGTTTGGAGGTGGGGAGGACAAACCTGCCCAGTCACATCTCCAAACAGATCTGCCTGCCTTGGAAGAAGGACCAAACTCTAAAATCAAGCTAACGTTTTTTTAAGTAAACTAATTTTGGTCTATAATTTATTTTCTATCTAACTGAAATAACTATAACAGTATAAAAACTGTGTGCTGACCAAACCTAAGTGAAAATGCAGCAGTGATATTTACACTCTACAATAGAATAAGCAAGTGTTGCTGCATGAGCCTCTTCTTCAAATTGTTCATTATTTAGCTAAGCAACACGTTAACAGGGTCTTATTTATTTCAGCTCTCCACCTGCTTTTATCTTGGCATGCAATCACTTCACTACAATTTATCATATTAGTCTACTTCTGCAGAAATTTACAATTTCTTCAAACAGAATGATATACATTTATGGAATGCATAAATAGCAAGAAAACAAGTCATGACCATATACACAACAAGAACACTCTTTGATATATGCAAGCAATATTCAAATTAACATCTTTATGACTTTCAATACTCATAATACCTTAACGAATCTCAACTTGTACTTACGTTGATTATTTTTCATTAAAAAAGGAAAACTAGGTAATTTAACAGATTAAAAATTCCAGTGAGTCAACATAATGTAGTGGTCTATGTTTACAATATACGATGTTTAATGTAGGAAAATATTTTAGATTAGCATATTGCCATTATTGGAATCACTACCTTGAAGCCTAATTCAACCAGGTCATGTCGTTTCAAGGCCGCATGAGTACAAGTCATTGCAATGATCTTTGCTTCTTTCACCAAGAGGTATTTGGATCTATCCAGGCCACTGCGGAGGAGTTCAAATGCCCTGAATTCCTACAGGAAGAGAAAAAAGCACTCAAGAATGAGAATACAAAATGATATTGTTTACAACAGAACTATGCACTCAAAAGCTATCTGACTTTACTCCTTCCATTCTTAACCCAAAAAAATATAAGTAAAAAGTACTAGTCTACAACAATTTCATGTCTGATTAATTTCTTAGCTCTAACAAAACATAGCTGTGAAATATAAACAAAATTTCAAAAGGACCTATAAAAATATACCCACAAAAAACTGGAACACCTATTTGTGCCTGCAAATTTAAACTTACACACAAACAAAATTGCCTGATAATCTGAGGACACATACATTTTTAGAAACAACTTGCTTTCAACTGTTCCCTCTTTTTTTGGGCACTGTTTTTATTGATCACAGGATCAAATTTAGAGATTAGAAAATTAGGCTCATATAGTTTTAAAGCCACTAAATACACTGCCTAGGTCAGTGACTAACGTTCTAGACTATTGTGCCCCTTTCAGAAGTCTGATTTGGCTTGCGTATCCCCAAGTTTCACCTCATTTAAAAACTACCTGCTTACAAAATCAGACACAAAAATATAAGTGTCACAGCAAACTATTATTAAAAAATTTGCTTACTTTCTCATTTTTACCATGTAATTATGGAATAAATCAATTTGAATATAAATATTGTACTTACATTTCAATGTATAGTATATACAGCAGTATAAAAAAGTCGTATGAAATTTTAGTTTGTACTGACTTTGTTAGTGCCTTTTATGAAGCCTGTTATAAAGCTAGTCAAATATTTAGATGAGCTGACGTACCCCCTGGAAGACCTCTGCGTACCCCAGAAGTATGCATACCCCTGGTTGAGAACCAATGGTCTAGATTTTCTTTTATACTATCTGGTTTAAAAAAAAGCCTCCTCAAATAAATAATTCCAAAATTTCCAGTAAAATGAAATTTTACAAATCTTACCTCAAGTTGAGTGAATATTTTCTTAATGTGTCTGAAACACCCTTCAGCAATTTCCATGTCCTCTTCATAAGATTTGCCTTTAAAAATTGGTTGAGGGGCATTTGCAAAATACTGATGAAAAGGGAAGAAACTAGAGACATCTGCAACATCAGGAAGCTTGCCACCTTTAACTTTCACTTTGCTAATATACTCCTCCCAACGAGACATTACCTGCAGCAAACAAAGATGTCATGATAGTGTATATATTTTTTCTATTCAACAGGGTTGTTTTTTTTTTAAAACCTTAGACTACCTATTTTTATTTAGTACATATTTGCATAAAAATCACAGGTTTATATTTGGTTTTCAACATAATTTCATAAAAATAATTTATAAATATATCCAAAGAAGAGAAATTACATTTCTTTAGTAAGACTAAACTATCTCTAAAACAGATAAATTACTATTTTGATGTTGTACTCTCCCATAAAAATCAAATGTAAAGTGAATTTCCAGTTATTGTATGTACTCTTTGTTTTCCTTCATTTAGTTATCTAACAAAAGCAAGTTACCACCTTGAGATCTATCATCAACAGCATGAAGAAACTTGCCGAGACTGTCATATCTGAAGAGGAAAATCCAGACCAGAAATGTTGCCAATAGTTGTACAAAAAAGCAAGAATGATGGCCTTTCAATTTGAGAGTCATCAGGCACAGAGTTAAAAACAATAGCAACACAAACAAGTAACATTATAATTATAGCTTCAGTTGCTGTCTACATTTTGAGCCACCAAACAAAACCATTTCTTTAGACTCAATTCTGAGAAATTCACTCCAATATCCATGTTGTGCTTTATAACATAGGGAGGTCCAAATCTGCTCTTTGGAAAAATATTTTATCTCTTACTTGGTATAAGAAGAAGTGACCAGCTGTTTCACAAGTATAAGAAACATCTCCTGGGACCCCCAGGCTCTCTTGTAATCGTCCAACCTCCCGTAGAAGCTCCAGTCTTCGACCCAGGACATAATTAACTCTTCCATACCTACAGAAGGGATGCAATGCGATACAAAGAATTATGTATTCCAAGTTTCTTTCTCAGCTGAAATGAATGTTGCTGAATGCCCATACTTGGATGTCGCAAAAATAACTACACAGAGCAAGCACTGGCCTTTATTAGTTACCAATAAAACCAGAACAAAAACCTGCTACCTGCCAACTGTTACTATATATATCTATATAATACTTCTATGCCCCCTCTCACCACAGAATCAGAGTGCCTCAAACATTAATGAAGTTATCTCACATATTCCTGTGAGGAAGGGAAGAATTATGCAAATTTTACATGTGGAAAACTGAGGCAGAGAGATTCCGTGACCTGCCCACAGTCATATGGGAAGTCTGTGGCAGAACTAGAAATTTCTCCAGTAATTCCAGAGTCTCACTCGCACATGCTTCCTTATGTGAACACCAAAGCTCTCTGTGGTTATTCTTTCATAGTGCAGGCTTAGCATTCTTAGAAGCACCTCTGTGTCCATCCTCTGATGGCCGCACCCTAGACAGGTAATTGGACCCACGGGCGGGGGTAAGGGGGATATCTGCTGTCTGTGCTCAAAGTGTTCATTTTACCCAATTCAAACCCAGAATTGTTTCCTTTGCACAGTCAGTTTTCCCAGTTTAAGTCTTTCACACAACAATGGGAGAAAAAAAAATTAAACAAAATGAGAAAATGTGACTAAAACCATAACAAATGGCATAGGAAATCAGGTGTGGCAATAGTATGTGACACTATTTTAAACTGAAAAGGAGTACTTGTGGCACCTTAGAGACTAACCAATTTATTTGAGCATGAGCTTTCGTGAGCTACAGCTCACTTCATCAGATGTTTACCGTGGAAACTGCAGCAGACTTTATATACACACAGAGAATATGAAACAATACCTCCTCCCACCCCACTGTCCTGCTGGTAATAGCTTATCTAAAGTGATCAACAGGTGGGCCATTTCCAGCACAAATCCAGGTTTTCTCACCCTCCACCCCCCCACACAAATTCACTCTCCTGCTGGTGCTAGCCCATCCAAAGTGACAACTCTTTACATAATCAAGTCGGGCTATTTCCTGCATAGATCCAGGTTTTCTCACATCCCCCCCACCCCCATACACACACAAACTCACTCTCCTGCTGGTAATAGCTCATCTAAACTGACCACTCTCCAAGTTTAAATCCAAGTTAAACCAGAACATCTGGGGGGGGGGGGGGGGGTAGGAAAAAACAAGAGGAAACAGGCTACCTTGCATAATGACTTAGCCACTCCCAGTCTCTATTTAAGCCTAAATTAATAGTATCCAATTTGCAAATGAATTCCAATTCAGCAGTTTCTCGCTGGAGTCTGGATTTGAAGTTTTTTTGTTTTAAGATAGCGACCTTCATGTCTGTGATTGCGTGACCAGAGAGACTGAAGTGTTCTCCGACTGGTTTATGAATGTTATAATTCTTGACAGACTAACACGGCTGTTCCTCTGAAACCTGTCATTATGCAAGGCACTGCATTTAGTCGTATGGAGTGGAAATCTATCAACTGCATGAAAAAACTTGTACAGATACAGACAGACATCATCTTCCTTTCCAAATGCAAACAGATGGACATCGTACCAAAAGGACTGAAGGTCAAAAATCCATTACAATCTACATACCACACAGACTATGCTGACAGCTTGTGCCTCACGCTCTCAAAGAAACTGCGGAATCACCTGATCAAGATCCTCTACAGCAAACAGGGAAAGATTAAGAATGAGCTCTCAAAAATGGATACTCTCATAAAGAACCAACCTTCCACACAAACTTCCTCGTGGCTGGATTTTACTAAAACTAGACAAGCCATTTACAACGCACACTTTGCTTCTCTACAAAAGAAAAAAGACACCAAACTTTCTAAACTACTACATGCTACAAGGGGCCACAGCAATGGTTCCCTCACCCCACCTAGCAATATTGTTAACCTATCCAACTATACTCTCAGCCCAGCAGAAGCAGCTGTTCTATCTCGGGGCCTCTCCTTCTGCCCCTCCACCCCCACGAACATGATACAGTTCTGTGGTGACCTAGAATCCTATTTTCGACGTCTCCGTCTCAAGGAATATTTCCAAAATACCTCTGAACAACATACTAATCCACAGAGGTCTCCCTGCCAACACTACAGAAAGAGGGATTCTAGATGGACTCCTCCTGAAGGTCGAAACAGCAGACTGGACTTCTACATAGAGTGCTTCCGCCGACGTGCACGGGCTGAAATTGTGGAAAAGCAGCATCACTTGCCCCATAACCTCAGCCATGCGGAACGCAATGCCATCCACAGCCTCGGAAACAACTCTGACATCATAATCAAAAAGGCTGACAAAGGAGGTGCTGTTGTCATCATGAATAGGTCGGAATATGAACAAGAGGCTGCTCGGCAGCTCTCCAACACGAGTTTCTACAAGCCATTACCCTATGATCCCACTGAGAGTTACCAAAAGCAACTACAGCATTTGCTCAAGAAACTTCCTGAAAAAGCACAAGATCAAATCCGCACAGACACACCCCTGGAACCCCGACCTGGGATATTCTATCTACTACCCAAGATCCATAAACCTGGAAATCCTGGGCACCCCATCATCTCAGGCATTGGCACCCTGACAGCAGGATTGTCTGGCTATGTAGACTCCCTCCTCAGGCCCTACGCTACCAGCACTCCCAGCTACCTTCGAGACACCACTGACTTCCTGAGGAAACTTCAATCCATCGGTGATCTTCCTGATAACACCATCCTGGCTACTATGGATGTAGAAGCCCTCTACACCAACATTCCACACAAAGATGGACTACAAGCCGTCAAGAACACTATCCCCGATAATGTCACGGCTAACCTGGTGGCTGAACTTTGTGACTTTGTCCTTACCCATAACTATTTCACATTTGGGGACAATGTATACCTTCAGATCAGCGGCACTGCTATGGGTACCTGCATGGCCCCACAGTATGCCAACATTTTTATGGCTGATTTAGAACAACGCTTCCTCAGCTCTCGTCCCCTAAAGCCCCTACTCTACTTGCGCTATATTGATGACATCTTCATCATCTGGACCCATGGAAAAGAAGCCCTTGAGGAATTCCACCATGATTTCAACAATTTCCATCCCACCACCAACCTCAGCCTGGTCCAGTCCACACAAGAGATCCACTTCCTGGACACTACAGTGCTAATAAACAATGGCCACATAAACACCACCCTATACCGGAAACCTACTGACCGCTATTCCTACCTGCATGCCTCCAGCTTTCACCCTGACCACACCACACGATCCATCGTCTACAGCCAAGCTCTGCGATACAACCGCATTTGCTCCAACCCCTCAGACAGAGACAAACACCTACAAGATCTCTGTCAAGCTTTCTTACAACTACAATACCCACCTGCAGAAGTAAAGAAACAGATTGATAGAGCCAGAAGAGTTCCCAGAAGTTACCTACTACAGGACAGGCCTAACAAAGAAAATAACAGAACGCCACTAGCCGTCACCTTCAGCCCCCAACTAAAACCCCTCCAACGCATTATTAAGGATCTACAACCTATCCTAAAGGATGACCCAACACTCTCACAAGTCTTGGGAGACAGGCCAGTCCTTGCCTACAGACAGCCCCGCAACCTGAAGCAAATACTCACCAACAACCACATACCACACAACAGAACCACTAACCCAGGAACTTATCCTTGCAACAAAGCCCGTTGCCAATTGTGCCCACATATCTATTCAGGGGACACCATCACAGGGCCTAATAACATCAGCCACACTATCAGAGGCTCGTTCACCTGCACATCCACCAATGTGATATATGCCATCATGTGCCAGCAATGCCCCTCTGCCATGTACATTGGTCAAACTGGACAGTCTCTACGTAAAAGAATAAATGGACACAAATCAGATGTCAAGAATTATAACATTCATAAACCAGTCGGAGAACACTTCAATCTCTCTGGTCACGCAATCACAGACATGAAGGTCGCTATCTTAAAACAAAAAAACTTCAAATCCAGACTCCAGCGAGAAACTGCTGAATTGGAATTCATTTGCAAATTGGATACTATTAATTTAGGCTTAAATAGAGACTGGGAGTGGCTAAGTCATTATGCAAGGTAGCCTGTTTCCTCTTGTTTTTCCTACCCCCCCCCCCCCCCAGATGTTCTGGTTTAACTTGGATTTAAACTTGGAGAGTGGTCAGTTTAGATGAGCTATTACCAGCAGGAGAGTGAGTTTGTGTGTGTATGGGGGTGGGGGGGATGTGAGAAAACCTGGATCTATGCAGGAAATAGCCCGACTTGATTATGTAAAGAGTTGTCACTTTGGATGGGCTAGCATCAGCAGGAGAGTGAATTTGTGTGGGGGGGTGGAGGGTGAGAAAACCTGGATTTGTGCTGGAAATGGCCCACCTGTTGATCACTTTAGATAAGCTATTACCAGCAGGACAGTGGGGTGGGAGGAGGTATTGTTTCATATTCTCTGTGTGTATATAAAGTCTGCTGCAGTTTCCACGGTAAACATCTGATGAAGTGAGCTGTAGCTCACGAAAGCTCATGCTCAAATAAATTGGTTAGTCTCTAAGGTGCCACAAGTACTCCTTTTCTTTTTGCGAATACAGACTAACACGGCTGTTCCTCTGAAACCTATTTTAAACTCTTTCCCCTCCCACCCAGTTATATTGACAACACCCCCTAAAGGGCAAAACAAAAATGTGTTACTGAACTTAATGAGTTTTCTATACATGTGCTTTTAAAAGATTATTTCTGAATGTGAGAAAAGGCTAATTTTGAAAGACAACAGAAACTCCTAACAAAACATTTATAAAAGCAAGTTTTTCTCATAATGACTAAAAATGCAACCTCCTAGGACTCATGATTATTTCTATTTTATCAAAAAAACAGGGTAGCTAAAGCTGGAAATTTGAATACCGTAAGTTACAGAACTGAAAAGAGCATTCTTTTACAACTGAAGCAACGAAATTACTTTTCCAGTAGCCATAATCAAATATGCTTTCTGGAGTGTTAAATACAAAATCCAGCCTCCAGAGTTACAAGTGGCCACAACCAGATTTCTCACTAAAAAGAAAAATGTTCTGATTCATCACAATTCATGTCACAATTCATGTGTCTAGTTTTGTTTAATTAATATGTAAATAGCATTCACACGGGGCTATAACCACCTTTCATATGTTAAAAAGACAATGGTACTGGTATGAAGAATAAACCCAGAAACAACCAAAACACCAGAAAGTAATCAGTCAGAGAAAAATATCAACCACCCCAAATCCCTCTCTCCTGCCCCAAACAGCATTACTCAGTATACTGTTTTCTCCCACAAAAGCCTAGGCATAGAGCTGTAGCTTTGTAGAAAGACCTGAAGGTCAACAGTCTTGGATCATTTTGTAGGGGGAAATGTTAATGCATTGTGTAAATAACTGGGTGTTAATATTTGTTTGAAGTGTTAATGTAGCCATGTTGGTCTCCGGATATGAGAAACACAAGTTGGGTGAGGTAAATCAATATATTGTCAAAATAATTCAGTACTTGTTCAGTTCAATTATTTTCCAATGCAAGCCTCTGATTCTACAAACATTTACTAACATGTGTAGCCCCCGTGAAGTCACTGGGATTACTCACACATGTAAAATTAAGCATGTGAATATTTACAAGAACAGGGCCTACATCTGTACAAAAGTTAAGATGAAGAACGGAAAACTTTATGAAATATGTATAATTGTTAATCACGGACACATTCTTCAAAATGTATTACTTACCATTACAGTATAAGCCCTTTAGTTTCAGTGGATGTTAAAAAATGCTTTAAAAATTGCAAGCAATTCTGTAAAATAATTACAAGCAGAAGGGATCTGAGTTTAAAATTTCAGCCATTCTATAATATGCAATATTCAGCATATTGCAAATCAAAAACATGAATAGCTGCAAAGAGATTTGAAATTGCAAAGAGTGCATTATTTTAGCCTTCAATTTGCATTTCATTAAACAAAAACTCCATAAAATGTGTACATGCTTAAAATATATTTACAAGTTCAAACATCTAGATGAAGATAGGTGAATACACAATTGCCTTGATATGTATAAAAACAGAAAAGTACAGTTTAACTGAATTAGCTACAAAACTGGAAAAAAAAGAATTAGCTAACTTAAGCTACACTGAAAATAAAAGCCCTATATTCAGGGCTCTAAGGGTATGTCTACACTGTAACTAAAAACCCACAACTGGCCTGGGCTTGGGCTAAGGGGCTGTTTAGCTGCAATGTAGACGTTTGGGCTCTGGCTGCAGCCTGAGCTCTGGGACCATCCCACCTCACAGATCCTAGAGCCCAGGCTCCAGCCTTAGCCCAAGCCCTGCAAGCCCAAGTTAGCTGACATGGACCAGTCAAAGATGTGTAACTGCAGTGCAGACATAACCTAAGTTACAGTTGTAGTAATACTAAGTTAGGACATAATTTTATGGGAAAGGAAGCATGAGTCTAAGCAAACTGCCCACTGTTTATTACCAATGAAAGTAGGAGTTTAAACATACCACTTGCCGTGTTTACACAAATTAGCTTATCATTAGCACCTTCCTCTTACCCATCAGCTCACCTGCTGAAATCTTTCTCTGTCTCCAATTCCTCCTCTCCATGACCGAGACGCAGGAGGTGGCGCTCATCAATGTCTAATGCCATGATTTTCTCAAACAGCTGGTTCAAGGCCTAGAGATTGACAAGAACAGGGGAAAAGGCAGTTTTTAGACGTTCAGAGGCTCTTGCAGGGAAAACTGAAGATTTACTATTGAGCATGCTAGTAAAGGATGCCTAATTTGGTAAGAACTGGAACCAAAGCAAACATGAAGGCAGCACCTAAATTAGAGCTCTTAATCTTGGGGAGGGAAAGAAGTCAGTCTACTGATACTGCTGCCTTTATATGCTATAGATACACAGTTAAACAAAACAAAACAGCATTCACCTCTACTTCAAGGCTCTGCTTAAAAATACTGGCTATCCATTTACAAAACCGTTTCAAGTACTAGACTTCTTAGCATCCAATTATTTTTTGCTAAGAAAGCAACAAGTCATGAAGAAATTACACCCAAACCAAATTTTGTCCATTTACCATTTATTGTACATGAATTGTATCAAATAATCCGGAAAAGCTTTATCTAATCCTGGCAAATGTCCTGGCTACATTACAATTGCATAATTCAATTCTGCCTTCCTAAAATTCCCCTGTAGTTTTAACTGGATAGGATATACTTCACATTCTGTCTTAAACAGTTATGGAGTAGTGCTGCTTATAGGCTTTCACCTCAAGTATGACTTCATTTCACTGATGACTAAAAGGAATCCTTGTGTATAGAAGTTTGCAAACACTAGCCAAAATGCAGGTAATGAACTCCCTAAGGATTACCTCTCCCATCACCCTTTGCTTCATCAAAAGCAAGACTGCTTCAGACTCAGACAGAAGCCACTGTACCAGCACAGCCTGGATACCACTATTCCAGATTGTAGCCAATTAACAGAAGGGTGGGGAGAGCTGTACGTCAACTGCATGACTGCTTATATTTGTTTTGGTGGAAGATACAGAAGTGGTTGCTCTCTTGTTGTGCCAATTAGAATGCCAGTAGAGGAGTGAGGTGGGATGTGGAGAAAGTTACTTAGAGAGGTTGGGAGGTATGTACTAAGAGTGGCTGAACTCCCCCAGATGATGATAATGTTACATGGCCTAATGACTGATCTGAGCAAAGGGGCAAGCAGAACTGGCAGGTTTATACTGCCTGAAGTGAGAGGAGGCTGCTAAACAGGGCCTAAGGACACTTTCTGACTAAAAAAATGGTAAGAAATGCAAGGGTGTATGGTGTAGTCTATGGCCAGTGATCAATAACTCTCTCTCTCTCTCTATATATATAGACAGACAGACACACACACATGCACGGTGGATGAGTTAAAGGTGCATCTCTGGACTGCTATAGTGGTAGGTTTTCCTGATCACATCTGGAAGATGAACAGATAAGGGAGACAACTAGATTTCTTGACTAAATAATGATAGGAAAGGTAATTAGGTCTCTATGGCTGTGATGAGACGGTGGATGTAGGGAGGTGTTGCGTCTGGTCTGTATGTTGAAGACAAGACACAAGCATTATAAGCCTGGATTCTATCAAAAAAGTTGCATATGTGTAACTAAACTGATCTAGTCCAGGGGTTGGCAACCTTTCAGAAGTGGTGTGCCGAGTCTTCATTTGTTCACTTTAATTTAAGGTTTCACGTGCCAATAATACATTTTAACGTTTTTTAGAGATCTCTCTCTATAAGTCTATATATTATATAAATAAACTATTGTCATATGTAAAGTAAACAAGGTTCTCAAAATGTTTAAGAAGCTTCATTTTAAATTAAATTAAAATGCTGATCTTATGCCGCTGGCCCGCTCAGCCTGCTGCCAGCCTGGGGTTCCGTTCACCTAGGCCGGCAGCAGGCTGAGCGGGGCCTACGGCCGGGATCCCGGCAGGCAAGGGGCTGGCAGCCAGAACCCCAGACTGGCAGCAGGCTGAGTGGGGCCAGCGGCCGAGACCCCAGACCGGCAGTGGGCTGAGCGGCTCAGCCCACTGCCACTCAGCCAGCTGCCGGTCTGGGGCTCCGTCCACCGGCTCCTGCCAGCCCAGCAGCCGGCTGCCAGTCCTGCTCAGCCCGCTGCTGGTTTGGGATCCTGGCTGTGCTCACATAGAGTGGGTACCTACCTTCTCCCTGGTTCTAGCCCATTCTCTTCCTCTCTCTCTGCACTGAGCTGTGGGTGGGAGTGCACTGAGCACAGGTCTGGGGGTGAAGGAGCAGGCTGGGGGTTGGGGTGTAGGGTCTGGCCAGGAGCTAGAATGAGGGAGAAGGCTCAGGGTTGGGGCAGGAGGTTTGGTTGTGGAGTGCTTATCTGGGCAGCTCCCATTTGGTGCAAGGGAGGCAGGTAGGAATGTGGCGGGGAGGGTGCTTGAGCTCCCGTTTGGTGCTTAGGGTGGGGGTGAGAATGTGGGGGGTGGAAGAGTCAGGGCATGGGGTGTGGGGAGGCTGGGTTTGTGTGGGGGGTGCTGGAGTGAAGGCTGGGGTTGTGGGGGGGTGCAGGGGTCAGGGCAGGAGGCTGGGGTGTGTCAGGGGTGCTGGATCAGGGCAGAGGGCTGGGTGGGGGGATTGAGGACAGCACAGGAGTCAGGGCATGGGGTGCTGGAGTGAAGGCTGGGGTTGTGGGGGGGTGCAGGGGTCAGGGCAGATGGCTGGGGTGTCTGAGGGGGTACAGGGGTCAGGGCGAGGGGGGCTGGGAGGGTTGTGAGGAGGGTGCAGGAATCAGGGCAGAGGGATGGGGTCATGGGGGGTGCAGGGGTCAGGGCAGAGGGCTAGGGGTGTGGGCTAGGGTCGTGGGGGTGCTCCCAGCCCCCTGCCCAGAGTGGCTCACAGCGAGCGCTGGAGGGAATATGCCCTACGTCCACCCCCCTTCCCCAAGGCCCTGTCCCCACCTCTTCTCCCCGGAGCAGTTGTGGGGAGGAGAAGAGCGGGCTGGGGCAGGCAGGATTTTTAATGGCACGCTGCTGCCTGCCGGGGTCCCGGCCTGGGTTTGGCAGTGGGCTGAGCGGGGGCTGGTGCCTGGGACCCGGCAGGCAGCAGGGTGCCATTAAAAATCGGTTTGTGTGCCGTCTTTGGCACGCGTGCCATAGGTTGCCGACCCCGATCTAGTCCCACAGTGCAAACCTTAATATACACACACTTAAGTGAGTTTAGCTTTGCACAAATTCACCTAAATTGACTTAAATAAGGATTAAACTGATTTAAGTGTGTCTATATTTGGGTTTGCACTGGTATACCTAGATGAATTTTATATTAATTTAGTAACACTAGTGTAGGGTGACCAGATAGCAACTGTGAAAAAACAGGACAGGGGGTGGGGGGTAATAGGCACCTATATAAGAAAGTCCCCAAAACGGGACTGTCCCTATAAAAATGGGACATCTGGACACCCTACACTAGTGCAACCTGCCTGATATCTGAAAGCCCGTAGTATCTGGCTTGTCAAAAGAAGTTGGACTGGGATGGTAGTTCAGAGGTAAGTGTAAAATTGAGATGTTATTCTGTAGTCCAGATAGGGCGACTGGGGCTATAATAGGTATTTCAGATATAGCAGAAGCAGAAAAGTCCCATACATTTAATAGGAGAACAATATGTAACTTTTTTGATTTCCACCCTAATCGCTTAAATGTCCTCAACAGAAAATGCATCTGATAACATACTTCAGAACGTTTTAAATTTTGATTTCATCGTAACTTCCAAATCTGTTTTTGTCTAAGACTCCACACAAACTTGTTCAAGTCCATATCAATGGAAATAACTGTACTACTGAAGCCACATAAAATAGAGCAGTACAAGAAAGGGTCACACAGAAGTTGTTCATTTACCTGGTTGGAATGTGTAACTATCAGGGTTCTCTGTTCTGGGAAATTATGATAGAGATTGGATATTATCTGCACAGCCACATCAGTTTTACCTGTACCAGGTGGGCCCACTACCTACAAAATGAAAAAAGAACAAAGTATAGATGTGCAGTAATCTGTAACATATGACACAACTATCCAGTTGGAAGAAAACGACGTTATTATGAGTTGGGTAGAACAAGATGGCTTGCCAGGAAGTATCTTTATTTTGACAAAGTACTGACTTAGGAAGCTGATGACCAAAATTCTACTCTAAATTGCCCCATTCATTGTCAATTGTGTGTAATTTGTAACTTGTTTCTGTGGACTCCAGATATAAATACAACGAGATACAGTGAAAAATTTAGCCATGTGCAAATGCAGAGTCCTGTGCAATGGGAATATACCTGATCATACAGACAAACTGCTGTCTCTGATTCCACGCTGTGCAATCTGAAACCAGTAGGCTCTGACCACTGCTTACTTTGTGCCACGGCTTAGGGTTGGCAGTTAATTGCTCCAGCACCACTGTGCCTGCTGCATCAGTTATAAGTGTTAAAAAATTGCTTGCGCCCCGGCACCTCTTTCATTACAAATTAAGCACTGGCTGTCACTGACACTTCCTCATACATGTAGGGTGGTCACAAGCGGCTGGGGAACCTCGGACATGGGACAATACAGAAAGACAAGAAAGAGCAGAGGCTTAAGTATCATGGATAAGAAAGGAGGAGTGGGACAGATTCATAGTTTGGACACTAGCTTGAGGAGGTCTGCCCTTTTAATTTACAAAAGGTCCCTGCAAAATCTAAGACTGTCCCTGGTGATATTATCAATATATCTGAGATTAATACATTTATAAGAAACTGCACAGAATTTAACATAATAAATACATTACAACGCTGCATCTCAGAGTTTGGCTTTGAAATTCAGACATTATATTGCACTCCACGCTGCCTATTTAGGATTATAAATACAGTATTTTCACTTTATTCACATGATATAGTTACCATTGATGTAGCTGCATTATCCTTAATATCACCGCTTTTTGAAACATATGGATTTAAAAGCAGTTAAACCATCTGTCTCTGTCTACCCCGGTTCTTATATTCACGTCTATCAGAAATATATTTTAATTTACTTTACATACCCAAACTCAGTAGAGTTGCCAAATGCTATCCTTGAACCTGAGGGAGCTAATGTGAAGAATACTCTGGAGGAGTTCTATGGTTAAACTCAGATCTACTTTGGAGACTGAGCACCTCACATTTGCATCCTGGAGCCACCCCTATATACTGAAGCAAACTAACTTTCTCTACACCTAAGATTTTAAATATGAGCAAAAATACAACTTGAGCAAGGTTTCTAAATATTATGGACAATCTCAAATTGTAGTATTTTGAAGAGAGTTAAGAAATACAGCACACATCTGATTCAAATGTCACAAGAACCTACATATGACATTTCAACCAATATGGGCCAAGTCCTACTTGCCTCCTTCAGACAAGCAGTCCTATGGACATGTAATTTGGACTCCTCATGTCAGGACAACAGGATCACACCTCATTACCATAAATAAGCACAATATACTCTACAGCGGTTCATTTTATCTATCGTAACTGGAATGAAAATATGGGGTCACACTGTACAATGAACTGGAAAGAGGCTCAAACAGCTGCCCATACACACACACACCCCTGTCCACACACACAGGCCACACACACCTGTCATTTACGAAATGCTCGTTTTAAGTGTAATTTTTCCCATTATGTCTAAGAGAATGCTCTCTGAAATCTGAGAAGATATTTTTAAACTGAAAATAAGTGATTAGCAAAATACAGCCAAAAATTTACGTGATTTCTCTCAGTAGTTATTTTTTTCTTTATGGATTGCGGGAACTAAACACTGTCAGGTACTACAATTTATCCCTAAAAGCTTTCCAATAAAAATATGCAGATGGTACTTCATAATACATTGTGCTTATACTGGAAAAGTTATTCTTACTGATTCATCAAAGATTAAATTATATTAATTAACAGCACATAATACTAGATTAAAAAACAAGATTAAAACAAAGAGCTACATCACCTAGAGTTTTCCCCCCTAGTATTTTATGTGTTGATTATATATTACAAAATGGAAATAAAGATTTTAATTTACTAGTCATCTTTCCAGCTGACAAGTAAGGAATATTGGTATGAAAGGAGACTCCCATACACAAATGTGTGTATTCTTAGCCAAACGCTATAATTATTAAAAAGCCAGCAGTTCAAATCAATGGGCTTGTTCCAGAAAAAGCATTATTAACTAAGCAATTTTTAATCACTTATCACTAGTGAATTTTACTGTCGCCCAAAAACTTTTTCATTTTAAAAGAACCCCTCAGGAACAGCAGATATAGTATAACTATAAGCCATTTATTTATCATCATTCTCAGGGTAGTCATTCATCTTAGTGCAAACTATGTTGTTAACCAATCCTACAGCCTTTACTCAGATGAGTAGTCCCACTGATTTCAGTGGGCCTACTCACATGAGTAAGGACTGCAGTATCAGTCCATAAAAATGAACTTAACTGTAACTAGAGATTCTTCAAGATGTAAGGTCCCTATCTGTATTCCATACAAAGGCACCATGCACCTGAGTCCAGAGATTTTTAGTAAGTAGTATCCGCTGGTCTGCACGGGCACAGTTGTTCTCCTCATGCTCCAAACCAAGAGAATAAAAGGCAGTGATTGATGCATCTCCAGTTCCTTTTCTCACAACAAATCTGATTATGATCTGCAGGAAAGGGGACGGAGGGGCAGGTAATGGACTAGTCAGGGACCACGCACATCGAACAACCTCCAATTATAGGTTTTGGAAAAAATAGCAATAAGTAGATGGTTTGATTCATGTGAAACTCTGAAATTACTTTAGGGATAAATTCTGGGTAGAGGAGAAGAGAGACCTGTTCTTTACGATGCTGATGATGGTTCATGGCAGATCTGCCGTGAGTGCTCCCAGCTCGCTCACCCTCCTGGCTGATGTGATGGTGAACCCCACTTTCATTGAGAGATAGGACATAGAACATGTGACTAATGGTTCGAAGGGAGATTTGGTGAGAACTGAAAGGACAATACAGATCCCACTGTGGTGTTGGTTTCACCTCTAGTGGGAAAGTTCTAATAAGTCCCTTTGGGAATCAAGTCATCGTAGGACGGATAAAGATAGTATGGTCCTCAATTGGAGGATGAAAAATGGACCCACCAGGAACTGACAAAGGCCCAATGTCTTATGGGTAGATAGATAGTCTAGAACACAAGGAATCCCAGTAGACTATGGAACTAACTGGCATCGACGTGACCAAAAGGAGAAACACTTCCATTTGGCCAGACATCTCCCAGTAGAATCTTGCCTGCTTTGGTTGACACTGGATTGAACCACCACTGAACATGAGCACTCTATGTCAGATGCCCATCCAAATACCAGGCCTTAAGCTGAAAAGGTCCTGGGTTGGTGTGCAGGATCGTATCATTGCGTTGTGTCAGCAGATCTGAAAATGATCAGATGTTGATGGGTTGAAATCCTCAGGCGATCAAAGAACAGAACTGTCTCAGTCAGTTGAGTGTGACGAAGATGACCTGAGCCACGTCATGATGGATCTTTTGCAGGACTTGTGCTATTAGCGGAATGGGAGGGAAGGCATATCTGAGATAGTCCATCCAGGATAGTAGCAGGGCATCAATCACCCTTAAAGCTGTGGCCCAGAGCTGCTCTGGAGTAGTACAGAGGTAGTTTCTTGTTCTCCTGCGAGGCAAAGAGATCCCAAGATGGTGTTCCCCACTGAGTGAGGATATCATTCAGAACAGAACCATTCATCTCCCATTCATGGTGTGTGGAAAAATATCTGTTGAGATTGACTTGCTACGGAGTTCTGCACCTGTTAGGTATGCTGCCAAGAGGGTTATGGATTTTATGATATACCAGTTCCAGTGGCCGACTCGCCCTATACACAGGGGAAGGCACACGGTGGGCACGTATGGAATACACATGGGGACCACTGCTCAAAGAAAAAACGGTTACCTACCTTTTTGTAACTGTTCATGCCCATTCCATTCTAGGTGTGTGCGCGCGCCCACGTGCATGGTCCCCGGATACTGCTAAGGCAAAAAATCTCCATAGGGTCAGCAGTGGTGCCCCCTTGAGTGCTGCGCTCATGTGTCAGTAGGGCCGGCAGCACCTGATATACTGACGCTTGAGCGCGGCACTCAAGGGGGAACCACTGCTGACCCAATGGATCCAGCTAAGTCAAAAATCTCCAACGACCGTGCACGTGCACACACCTAGAATGGAATGGACATGAGCAATATGTCTCAAAGAACAAGTTACGAAAAGGCAGGTAACTGGTATTTCTTCGAATGCTTCCTCGTGTCTATTCCATTCTAGGTTACTTGCAAGCAGTGCCAATGGAGATGGGCTTGGAGTTCACAGTCTTGCAGTTTGCAACACTGCTCTGACGAAGCCAGCATCATCCTGCGCCTGCTGGGTACATGCATAATGGGACATAAACGTGTGGACAGACGACCAGTTAGCAGCTCTACAGATCTCTTGGACCGGCACCTGAGCCAAGAAGGCCGCTAATGACACTTGTGCTCTAGTTGAGTGTGCCTCGACTATCACCGGTGGAGGCAATTCACCAGTTCATAGCAGTATTGGATGCAGGTTGTGAGCCAGGATGAAATCCTTTGAGCAGACACTGGGCAACCTTTCATCCTGTCTGCCACCGCAACCAACAGCTGCATTGACTTGAGAAACGGCTTTGTCCTGTGGATATAGAAGGCCAGCGCCCTCCTGACGTCCAGGGCTTGCAAACTGCAAATTCCTCTTCGGATTTATGGGGATTTATGTCCTGGTCGCTATGAAACTGAGAAGCTACCTTGGACAGGAATGCCAGGTGCAGCCACAACTGGACCTTATCTTTGTAGAATACTGTATAGGGCGGTTCTGAAGTAAGTGCCCTGATCTCAGACACCCTGCAGGCAGACGTAACCGCAACCAGGAAAGAAACCCTCCGGGAGAGAAGAAGAGGTTCGAAGGGAGGCCTCATGAGCCTTGACA